TCTTCACTCGGGTGTCCAAAACATACGGCCGCAGGTCAGATGATATGACTACAAAGTCTATCATCGACCTGCGACCTAGGCTGCCCTGGTACCAAGTGTACCGATGGGCATCCTTATGTTCAAACATGGTGTTCGTTATGGCCAAACTGTGGCTTGCACAGAAGTCCAATAATGAAACACCACTTGAGTTCAGATCAGGCGGGCCGTTCCTCCCAATCACACCCCTCCAGGTCAAGCTGCCATTGCCCACATGAGCATTGAAGTCCCCCAGCAGGATAATGGAGTCCCCTGATGGAGCACTATCTAACACTCGTCCCAGGGACTCCAAAAAGGGTGGGTTCTCTGAACTGATATTTGGCCCATAAGCACCAACAACAGTCAGGACCCGTTCCCCCGACCCGAAGGTGCAGGGAAGCTACCTTCTCGTCCCCCGGCGGTAAACCCCAACACACAGGCAGAGAGTCTTGGGACTAACAAAAAGCCAACCCCAGCCCTCCGCCTCTCACCCGGAGCAGCTCCAGCAAAGGAGAGTGTCCAACCCCTCTCAAGGACTTGGGTTCCAGAGCCTGTGCTATGTGTCGAGGTGAGTCCGACTATATCTAGCCGGTACCGCTCAACCTCTGCCACAAGCTCCTGCTCCTTCCCCGCCAGCGAGGTGACGTTCCATGTCCCAAAAAACAGTTTTCTTGTCCGGGGATCGGACCGCCAAGGCTCCCGCCTCAGTCTGCCACCCGATCCACATTGCACCGGACCCTTCATGTTCCTCCTGCGGGTGGTGGGTCCACAGTTGGATGAGCCCATGTATCTGGTTTGGGCTGGGCCCGGCTGGGCCCCATGGGTGAAAGCCCGGCCACCAGGCGCTCGCTCACGGGCCCCAACCCCAGGCCTGGCTCCACCGTGGGACCCCGGTTACTCTCTGGGCCGGGTACTCCGACTCTTTAAATTTACTTCCATGAAAGATCCTGTAACTAGGTGTGTAAATTATATTAAAAAACGGCGAATATTATAGAATGAGTGGTGGTTCCTAATGAATCCATTTTGGTCAGGAGCGATTACGGAAGGAAGGGCCGTTTCTAACTTGCGAGCTAACAACTTTGCCAAAATCTTAACATCAGTATAAAATATAGATATAGGCCTGTAAAGCCGGGCGTACACTGTGCGACTTTTTCACTCGCAGCGTTCAGCTTCAGCTCAAACTGTACGACTTCCTCGCAGAGCAGATCTCACGAGTCATGTGCTCACACTGCACGACCCAGTTCTCGCATGCGACCTGACTGCTCACACTGTACGTCTGGTAGCAACACGTCGGCCCTAAAAATGTGCTAAAAATAGCAGTTTTTACTCAACACGTCAGACTTTTTTGTCTTGCCTGTTCTTCGGGAGTGCTGCAGGACACACAGGGATTTATGGGGGTTGGATGAGGAAAACGAAATAAAGAAAGTGAATCTGTGTTTTGTGATCAGTTTAATTTGACATGAACACGACAAACACGCTTTCTTGACAATCTTTGTGAGTAAAAAAAACGTGTAGAAACAAAAACGAACAGCGTGTGTTATTAGGGAAATAGCGAGCGACCGGCCGGCGTTGATGCAGGATTGCGCGCGCATGCGCCGTGAGCGGTTCTGATACTTTTTGGATCGCAGCTGCTCGCAGCTGCTCGCAGCGCCGCTTCAACAGTGCGATACCCTCACGAGGGACGAGCGAAATATTAAACACACCAGAAGTCCCTGCGACCTCACGACTGCTGATCGGCGGCTGGTCACGTGGTGTTAATCGCCTCTCGTAACCCCCTGTACACTACACGACCGCTCGGCGCAAAACTCGCCCCGATGTCGTGGCTTCTCGCACGACTGGAAAATCGGCTCAAAAAAGTGAAAAAGTCGCACAGTGTACGCCCGGCTTAAGAGGCGCAGTCAAATGGGTCTTTGTCCTTCTTAAGCAGCATGGAAATGCAAGCCTGATAACATGACGAGGGAAATTCCCCAGACTCAGAACCAGTAAGTAATAAACTTAAAAGGGGGGAAAGATCATCTGAAAACTTCTTTAAAAAATCAGTTGAAAACTCGTCTGGGCCCGGTGATTTCCCTGACTGCATGGATGATATAGCTGCTTTGACTTCCTGTTCGGTGATGGGTGCTTCAAGATTCTGTCTAGTTCCTGGGAGAATAGAAGGCATATCCACAGAGTTTAAAAAAAACTCTCCATATCGCTCAAACAGTTAGTAGAATCTGATGTATATAGTTTTGAGTAAAAGGCTCTAAATTTGTCATTGATTGCTGTCTGATCAGATGTGATGTCCCCGCTGTCTGTCCTAATGCCCCGTATAGATTGTTTGGCCCTTGCACCGCGTAGCTGATTGGCCAGAATTTTACCGGTCTTTTCACCATGCTCATAAAAATTGCTCTTACATCTGATCAAACAGCCTTCGACCTCGCGGGAAGAAAGAATATTGAATTCAGTCTGTAGCCTTAATCGTTCTTTATACAATGCAGGGGGGCATGATCGGAAACTGTAATACTTTCATAACTGCAAGATTTAAGGTTTGGGAGCAGCTGATTGTCTATAAAAAATAATCGATGCGAGTGTATGTATGATGTACGTGAGAGAAAAAGAGTAGTCCCTACCGGTTGGATATAAGAAACGCCAAGGATCAGTAAGGCTAAAATCTTCAAGAAATGACCTAACATATTTGGCTGACTTATTTAGACTGGCAGGTTTAGAGGAGGAACGATCTAACTGTGCATCCAAAAAACAGTTAAAGTCCCCACCTAAAATCAGAGAATGAGAATTCAAATCTGGGAGCTGAGAGAAAAGGTTTTGGAAAAATTCCACATCGTCGAAATTAGGCGCGTTAACGTTGGCCAAGATCACAGATTTATTACAAAGTTTGCCATATACAATTATAAAGCATCCATTTTTATCTGATATGATATTTGAGGCAACAAAGGGAATATTATGTTCAACAAGAATGGCGGTGCCCCTGGCCTTTGCTTTAAAATTCGAATGAAATGACTGCCCCGACCAGCATTTCCCCAAATACCGCTGATCTGAATCTCGCAAATGAGTTTCTTGCAAAAACACTATCCCAGACCAGTTTAAGGCAAGAAAAGACTCTTTTCCGTTTAACCGGGTGGTTCAGTCCTTTTACATTCCAACTGACAAGGTTAAGATTGCTGTTCATTCTAGAGTGATCCTGTAATCATAGTACCTAGAGTACCTCCAGGTGAAAGGAGGGGAAGAGGAAGGAAGGGAAGAAAAACAACAGACATAAAGAAAGTAAAATGCATTTTAAGAAGAAAATTAGCTGTCTCAAACGAACCACCCACCCCTTCAAAAAATAACCCTGAAAACAACACAGGTTGCAACCACTGTAATTCTCCTACTACTCATCATCAGCATACCAAAAATATACTCCCAAACTAAACCAACTTTTCCCCCGTCACAACAAATAAACAACTATTCTTCACCCAGCTGAAAATTGAGGGCTAAATAGAGCGTCAAACATACGAGATATTTTATCTAGGAATGAACTGCCAACAAATACATGGAAACAAAACCGCACACTGGTCCTTTCTCAACAGGTATTGATTATTAAAATTTGTATGCAATATAATTGGCCTGTGGCTGTTGGAAGTCCCGGTAGTACCTGAGAAGTTCAGAAGGACCAAGCCGGATCACGGTGATGCACTATGTTCCCCCTCCATAGACCAAAGGAGGTCGGCTGCCGTGGAAACGGACCGCAACCACCTTCTCTCCCCATCCGGGAGGGTGACGCGCAGCCTCGCAGGGAAGAGAAGAGACAGCCGCAGTCTTTTGGTGTAGAGTTCAGCCATAACTTTCTTATACTCGGCCCGCTTCTTCAGGACGTCAGCGCTGTAATCCTCGTAGAAACGAAGCTTGTGCCCCTGGTAATCCACCGTGCCGCGCTTCCGTGCCTCCCTCAACACCAAGTCCTTAATTTGGAAATGATGAAAACGAATTATGACCGGGCGCGGACGCCCCGCTGGACTGGGTTTTGGGGCAAGGCTGCGGTGGGCTCTATCCAGCTCAGGCGGAGATGATCGGATCTGGTATGAGGATTGCTGTATAGTCACTGACACTAGTCAGTGACTTGATGCAATTTGCTGGGTTCCTTATATAGGAAACATTATTTCTGATTGGCTTAATGAACTGTGAATTGGAATATCTATTATGTGAAGTGCCTTGAGACGACTCTTGTCGTGATTTGGCGCTATATAAATAAACTTGAATTGAATTGAATTGGTCGCCAAATATCTCCACAAAAAGCCTGGAAAAAAACGCTGTTGGCTGCGGACCTTCCAGGGGCTCGGGTAAGCCAACCACTCATAGATTCAGCCTCCTGCTTCTCCCCTCGAGGTCAGAAAGTTTAGACTTCAGCATTGCGTTGTCTTCCTGTAGAGTCGCACACTCAGTTTCGAGTTGCTCTAAGCGTTGGCTAACCTCCTCGGCATTTGATTCAAGGTCCTTGATGCGTTGCCCATGTCCCGAGACATCGATTTGAATTTTGTCCAGTTTGGTGTCCAAATTATCAAACGAGGATTTAAAGTCGGTACCAATCTTCATTCGGAGTTTATCAAGCATCTCTGAGATTTGTGCTGCGGTCAATAGCATGCTAGCTCCGTTAGCTGCGTTAGCCGCTGCCGAGGAGCTTTCTGCTACCGAGTCCTTTTTGCTGCCTTTAGTCGATTTAGACATGACTTCCCAGCTCGTGATGTTGTTCCTGATGCTAACGTCCAAGTTCCAACGGGGTTACAGATAGAGGAGAGGTGAAGAGAGTAATAAAAACAGATATTTTAGCAGGAGCCAGCAAACTGCACACCTACGCCATCGCTTGCCAACCGGAAGTCCTCCCAAGATCTGGTTTTTAGTCCTGAATCATGAATTGAGAGACAGAATCTTGTGGTTTACTTTGGAACACCGGTTGGTGGTTCTACCTCACTGTCCAGCAGCTTCTATCTGTGTGTCTTCTGGACGTTCAGGTTGGTCTCCCAGCATCAGCAGCCAGAGCGCTCTGATTCCCAGTAGGCTGCTGGAGCCGCAGGCGGCCCCTCCGCTCGCTCCCCCTCCGGCTGGTGAGTCGGAATCATGACACTGAATCAGGGGGGCCTCTTGCCACCTGTTTCCCAGCATGCTTTGCTGTGGTTTTGACCTAATTCTTAACAACCTTTGGTTCTGAGTCAAAGGTTGAGGAAGAATGGTTCATGTTTGTTAAATGGTTGTTTTTATGTCTGGACGGTGATGATGGTTAGAGATACCAGCTGAAACATGTTAGGTAAATGGACAAGGAAGAGAAACACGGAATGAGCGTTCAAAAGAGTTTTATTTAAAAATATAGAAATGCAGCTGGAATAGGAGTGTAACTGCATGTGTTTACTCTTCTCGTCTCTGCTTTTTGTTTCAGTCTTCCCTCCAGATTCTGTTCTATATCTAAACTTCCAGCTGAAGCTTTTTTCCAAACATCATAGTTTTCAGTTTTCTGCTTCTGACAAACGGCTGAAGCCGGTTTTACCTGACCGGAGGTGATCAAAGGGCTCCAATGAGTCGAAATTTAACGCAATCAACTGTTGCTGTGTAAACTCACTTACAGTAGCGTTTAATTCACTCTCATCCTAAATGTTTGAGACGGTTTGTTAGGAAACATCAGATAATAAAGTTTATTCAAACGTGGAGAACAGGTCACAGGAAACAAGACGGAGATCAAAGCTGTTTGTGATGTCATTTTTCCGTGTTTTAGGGAACAGTTCCGTACGAAGTCTGAACACGGGAGTCGGAGAACTGTTTGGAAACACGCGCTTCTGGCACGGGAAGGACTACTGCAACTTCGTGCACAAAGACTGGATTCAGCTGGACAAACCGTTTGATGGTAGGCGAGCACTCCGGGGTCTCCGTTAGCTAAAAACGGAGACGATATCATTCCTGCTCTTCTGTTTTCTGCTCTTTTAGATTTCATAGACAGGCATACAACTCCCAGAATGCCGTGGCATGACATCGCCTCTGTGGTTCACGGGAAGGCGGCTCGAGACGTGGCCAGACACTTCATCCAGCGGTGGAACTTCACCAAGGTGAACGGGTGTTTCAGCATTCCCAGAACCAGTAACAGATCCTAAATCAGGGAAAAAGTGAGTTTGTTATTGCTGGATTCGTGTAATCTGTGCTGTGCTTTGGTCTGATGACTCAACAGGAAGACAAAAACTAAGAAATAAAATACAGCGTCATCAGCATAAAGAAATCATAAACGTTTGTTTTCATATTTAGACTTTAATGTTTTATTTTTTTTTTTACTGAAAACCTTCTGATGATCAGGAATTATTATAATGTTCTTCACCAGCTCGTGAAGCCAAAGTACTGTGCTCCGTCGTACCCGTACCTCCTACCAAAGTCCCACGCTACCGCCGGAGAACAGCGATACCAAGTTCCCAACTGCATCAACGCCAACGTGCAGGTTGGTGTCACAGTTCACGTTTCTATCCACAGATGTAAAGGTCGGACTGATTCTGATGTTGTCCTGGTGACAGATCCTCCGCTCTGCCTCGGACTGGTCTGCTGGCATCAAGAACCACGAGGAGTCCATCCACAATGCCTACGTCCACGCCATCAAGAACAGCCGGCACTTCATCTACATCGAGGTTTCTGGGCTTTTCCTCATTTTACAACAAGGACCTTTTAAGAATCACATGAATCCTTTACAGATTCTCTAAAGCGCTGCATGGATTTCACCACAAAAGCAGGAGCATGGGGGCAGGGTGGTGGTGGTCCAGTTTAAACCGGACCGGTTCAACCCACTCATATTCACGCTGATCAGATTTCATACCTTTGGTTTAATGGAAACCAAAGAAAAGAAAATGGAGTCCAGCTGCTGGATGAACTAAAGGAAATGTTTATTTTTACCATCAGCAGAAGGTTTGTGCTAATTCCAGTTTAATAAACATCAAACCAGAAGCTGGAGGTTAAAGCCAGCGCCCTCCAGTGGCTGGTTCCAGTACAGGTTTTAAGCCCCGCCCCCTCCATATTAACTAACGGGACTTTTTTTCAGATTAAAGCTGATTATTTTTTACAGGCGTTGCGTCACGTAGTTCTCACCTTGTCATGGGCGGGGCTTTCCGCCCCACCTCCTGAAGGCGTCCTTAAGCAGGACATCAGGGCATCATGATTCAGTCCACCTACAACATCAGCTGAACTGGGTCCAGATGTGGTCCGTGGTTCCACATCTGGCTGATTTATGATGTTTTGTCCCGTTTCAGCCGTGCGAGTCAGACGCATCACAGTAAACAGAATAAAGCTTTTCTCCTCTAGAGGTTCCCATCAGTAAAAAGATGTGGGGTCTGTTTACCAAAAGCAAAGATTCTAGCTGCTCTACAACGTCTTCAGCTCCAGACGTGTTTTTATCTCCCAGAATCAGTTCTTCATCAGCTGTGCAGACAACCGGTACGTCTTCAACAAGATCGGAGACACCATTGTTCAGCGCATCCTCCAGGCCTACAGGTAATGTGTGTGTGTGTGTGTGTGTGTGTGTGTGTGTGTGTGTGTGTGTGTGTGTGTGTGTGTGTGTGTGTGTGTGTGTGTGTGTGTGTGTGTGTGTGTGTGTGAGACATAAAGATTAGTTACATGAAGTCCAATAAAAGGTAATATTTAATACAATAACAAAAGCAGCAAAGATCAGATAAAAGTTTGTTTTGTCTCCTTAAATAATAATCTGTGTTTTGTTTCTGCAGGGAGGGTAAGAAGTACCGCGTTTACGTGGTGACGCCTCTGCTGCCGGGCTTTGAAGGAGACATCAAAACGGGAGGAGGCAGCGCCCTCCAGGCTATCATGCACTTTAACTACAGGTTTGTGTGTTCTACACACACACACACACACACACACGTGCGCACACACACACACACACACACATTCAGACTGAACGTTAGAAATGTTGTGACTCACATCAGAGAAGAATGTGGATCAGCTGCTCTTCCTTCTGTTCTCCTGTCTGCAGAACCATGAACCGAGGAGATCACTCCATCTTCTCTCAGCTAAAGAAGGAGAGTAAGTCAGAACACACACACACACAGAGAGACACACACCTGTTCCACGTTCAGGTTAATTAGTGGACCTAAACCCCAAACCACACGGAAGAACCAGATCCAGACTGGCTTTGTTTCTCCTCCAGTGGGAGATCAGTGGATCAACTACATCTCCATCACCGGTCTGAGGACCCACGCTGAGCTGGAGGGGAAACTGGTGACGGAGCTGATCTACGTCCACAGCAAGATGCTGATCGCCGACGACAACACCGTCATCATCGGTAATCGTTGTTTCATCCCTTCAGATTTTAGACGATCTGAAAAGAGGTGCAGCAGCACCCTCTGCTGGTGGTTCCCACCACTTAGATGTTTTCATCTGCAGGTTCTGCCAACATCAACGACCGGAGCATGCTGGGTAAGCGGGACAGTGAGGTGGCGGTGTTCGTGGAGGACACGGAGACGGTGAACTCTGTGATGGACGGGCAGCCGTACCAGGCGGGGAAATACGCCCTGCAGCTTCGCCTGGAGTGCTTCAGGTACGCCGCCGCCGTGGGGTCATGGAGGCAGAATCATCAGGAACCGTTTCAGAGAGCATTAGCCACCAGTTTTATTCTGAAACTACCAAGGGTCTTTAGTTTTAGCTTTATCTGATCATTTTTGTTTCTTCATGTTTCTGACCCCCCCCCCACACACACACACACACACACACACACCATCCCAGGATGATCCTCGGAGCTAACGCCGATCTGTCCATCAACGTTTCTGATCCAGTCAGCGATCACTTCTACAAGGAGGTCTGGATGGTCACGTGTGCCCGAAACGCCTCCATCTACCAGCGGGTGTGTCATGGTTCGGTTCTGTTTGGGTTGAACTGTTAAGATCCTTATCTTCACTCCAGAACCCGGTTCTTCTCTCTGACTCGTCCAGGTTTTCCGATGTCTGCCGTCCAGCGACGTTCGTAGCATCTCCGAGCTGGACGGCTACCTGTCCAAGCCAGCTCTGGCCAGAGACGACCCGGCTCGGGCTCAGGAGGAGCTGAAGAAGATCCGTGGGTTCCTGGTCCAGTTCCCGTTCCAGTTCCTGAGTGAGGAGAACCTTCTCCCTCCCATGGGAACCAAGGAGGCCATGGTGCCGATTGAGGTGTGGACCTGAAGCTCGGAGCCAGGAAGTGTTTTAATCTTTGTACTGGAGAGCAAACAGAACCGTGTTCAGGTCCTTTTGGGTTCCCGCTCATTTGAAGGGTTTTTGCCCCGATCAGAGACTGCCAGGTTGTTTTATTCTGGGCCATAATCAGATGGAGACAGGAGGTCAGAGCGATTCGTTCTGATTAACAAACTCCTGCCGAAGATTCAGCCGGAGCCATGGTCGGGAATGTTTAAACCGGAAACACAGAATGAGTCAGAACCTGTTAGATCTGAGCATGCTGAAGGATGATGACTCTGTGAGGATCAGCTGCTGGAGGAAAGTCTGCCTGTGAGTTTGAACCCAGGGCTACAAAACCCACTACAGCCCACTTCCTCTGCTGCTAGTCTGGAATTATTTCCTGGTTCTCTTTGGTAAGTCGAACGGAGGAGGAATCCTCTCCAGTGTCACCTGGATCAGCTGAGCTCTGGAACTTCCTGCCTGGATCTCGCTGACACAGAAACACCTTCTGGGACCAGATCCAGATGTTTTATTAATCTTTGCATCCAAACTCCGAAACACGGATCTCCGTGGCGGCCTTGCGTTCCCTGGAAGGTGGAAATTAGGTTCACTGAGACTCGTTTCCTGTTGGCCGTCATCGTCGAGGTTCACTCTGAAGTCACTATGCAACATCCAGAGATGGGGGGGGGGGGGTCATCTGCTCCATAAAGACACTAAAACATCAAAACTGAAGAATTTTCTCTTATTTAAATCAAAGCAGGAATTAAAAATGTGCCAAATAAACGATTCTTTGGCCTCACAAACCCGACATTCCTCCAGACTCTGGAATCCGTCCCGCCTTGAAGGACCTGCCACTGCGATCTGTTCACGATGCTAATCTGATGGTTTTTGTTCATCAGAGTTTGTGGGTTCCAGCTGTGCATCTGTGTGTCATTAAGTAAATGCTGTAACTTTATATTAGTCCGACTGGTTAGTTGGATGAAGATGAGTTTAGATGTTTTACGTGTTCTGAGGTATTTGTCTAATTCTGGCCACCAGAGGGCAGCAGAACAACCTGAAAACTCACCAGCCACCACGTCAGGAATGCAGTTTAAATATTTTACAGAAGCAATAGTTTTCTTTGAGCCACTTGGATCAGCCAGACAAGTTTCCACCTTTTAAATATAAAACCGTAGACATGAAAACATCTTTAGTTTTACATCCCGTCATTCCTGCAGCAGCGATCACCTCTTTATCACTTTTAGGTTATTTTTGTTCTGAAAATCATTTAAAAGCTTATTTAGTTTTTTACTTAAGTTTCAAACATGTGGTGAAAACAAGCTAAAGTTACAGATGACTTGAATAAATAGGTTTAGAGCCTTCTGCGCATTCACCTGTCAATTGCATGTTTCTGGTTTGTTTCTGGCGCCCCCTGTGGCCATTCGGAGCTCTGCACTCCTAAGTTTCCGACGCTCCTCCAGAGCTGCACGGACTCCTCCCTGTTGGTGTGTTTCTCTGCATGAAGCCAACGCTAAAGCAGCTGATAGTGTGATGAAGTCCAGCGTTACTGATGAAGGCACTAATCCTGCGAGCTGATTGGTTGATGCTGAAACCATCCTGCAGCCAGGACTTTAAACGTTTCTCTACCTCTCTGTCCTTCCACCTCCTGCTCGGCTGTTTTCTGTCTTTAATCTGGAAAATCCGACAGTTTCGCTCCACCTGGAGAAGATTGGAACACCAACATCTGTTCTCTGAGGAGCTGAAACTCTTAGTTTGTTCAGGATTTCCTGTTTCTCTCTGAAAATGCACTTTTTTGCACAGACTGATGTTTCCTGCACTATCACAGTATTGTGTTGTTTTGGTGGTAAATGTTGGATTCAATAAATGAGAAATTAGAAAGCATGTCTACAGCTGATTAGCCCTGTCCCAAGATGGCCACCAACCCTGAAGGACCTTTAAAACGCCAAATTGGTTTCAAATCCATTTTCTAGTCAATTTTATTTTTTTAAGATTTGAGCAAAACAACTGAATTATTTCTCAACCTTAGTGAGAATGGGTCTGGTGACCTTTGACCTTTAGATTTTATTTTATTCCTGGATGATTTTTATTTTCTAAACAATCCTGAGGATTGAAGTCTGAATATTTCACCATCATAAATCATTTCCTTTGTCAGATTATAATCTGATCTCATCCTGATGTTTAGATTTTGTTATTTGGAAAGTAAATTAAAATCTATTTTATCCTTAAAGTGTCTATTTTAAAATGAAGTAAGAATAATTTCTTTATCTTAGGTGAAAGTCTCATAAGGATCACGTCTCATGTGTAGGAATGTCCTGGTCCGGGAGGGCAGCATGAAAATAAAACGAGGATTAAAACAATCTGACGGTAAAACGTAAACGGCAGAGTTAACAACAGAGTTGGGATCATTCAGTGAGTGAGGCAGTTACGTTCATGTGCCGGGTAGATGTTTTGCCCCGATGACTTTATCACTAGGAGATGATGTATGTGTGATGTCCAGAAATGGTCAGTTTTCAGTTTTTCTAACCCTACATGGCGACAGGAGTCTACATGTGTTGCCTTTAATCTGCCGGATCCTGCCATTCCATCAGCTGGAGCCCGGGCCTCTCGGCAGCTTGGAACACATGATAACGTATTGTCAACAGACTGTTCCCTTCTCAACGCCCTTCTGTGCCAAGCCTGCCTGGTTATCTAGGCCGGCCTGGACAGTCATAATAAGAGTGGCTGTTTTCAGCTTATATGAGTTAATCATTCGTGAAATAATAATAATAATGTCTTCGTTACTCTGTGCTTAAATCAATAAGGTTGATTGATCTGTGCTTGAATTACTGAAATGAAATGAATTATTACAGGGAATGAGTTATATATATGGTATTCAGTCATGTTTGATATGGCAAGGCAGACTTCACCCGCACTCAGACACACGGACAAGTTAAAGTTAAGTTAAACGTCATGACACTAGTTATTTCTTTACCCCAGATCAGAGCATCCGGTATCTGAAAGGAGGCGTGATGTTCTGAGCTTTTCTTGGTAGTTCCGATTGGCCAAGAATTCATAATATGAGAATATTAAAACAGAGCTCACGAGACGGTTTTTCAGTTCTAGATCACGCTCCGGATCGGCCGACTGGAGTGAAACCTCTTTAACCCAGAGCATTTTTGGCAAGCTGCCAAAACCCTGCTAAAAGCTGCCTACCGCTGACACAGCAAACTGTTCCTGCAGAACAAAGCTGATACTGTTCCGACTCCTTAAGAGTCCATCTAGACACCACGGTTCCATCCATCTGTTGTGACCCGGAAACATCTCTGGACCGGAGAGTCGGTGCTACGGTTATTCTACAACCTCTGTGCCAAAGGTCATCCAACCTTTCTGACCTTTGGATCCACGAAGAGGGTGTTCCAAACGGTGAGGTCGACTCACATAAAGCGTCTGATGCCTTTTGATAAGAATCAACTTCATAGCTTAATGCAAACCAAATTCTTCCCTTTTTTACCCAGAACTCAGCTCTTCTAGATACGAAGGTTCTGATAACCTCACATTCACACATAGCCAGCAAACATCACATTCCATCCATCTAGATCCATCCATCACAGTAAACATTAGTTAACCTGTCATGTTTTAACTGTTTGGAAATAAAATTCTTACTTTTGGTAAACCTGACTCTTTTCTTGAGTCAAGACGAAGTGTTTACAATCCCTGAATAACAAAGAATCCTAGAATCTTCTGATTAAACATCCAAACACCAAGCAGGTTGATCTATATTTATAGAGTATCGTGTATAGTGTGTGTGTGTGTGTGTGTGTGTGTGTGTGTGTGTGTGTGTGTGTGTGTGTGTGTGTGTGTGTGTGTGTGTGTGTGTGTGTGTGGTCCGTTCCCTCTCAAGCCCTGTGTAAATCTGATTAATGGACTTTTTAACAAAACAGCTTCAAAAATAAATGATATTTGTGCTACATATTATTATATTTATTATATCATTATATTATATAATATATTTATTACATTATTATATTATTTGAATGTATTTGCTATTTTTGCACCCTGCACATGTTCTGTAGTAAATTATGTCTACATTTAGTGATTTTGTTTACTCTTCATTTGGTCAATAAAGTTCTGGGGAAGAAAGTCCCCAATCAAGCGATGAGACAAGAACAAGGAGATATTATGGGCTACATTTATTTAAGCCAACAAGGAAGAGGCTTAGATTGCAGTTCCACCCTCATCCACTAGGGGCTGGCAGCAGAAGTGAGCCAATCCTCATTGACTCCCATTTAAAAAAACTGTTTCACAGCAGAAATAAACATGTTTGTGTCCTGGTTCAAAAACCATTCTATGTTTAACAGATCTAGTTTACCTTGGTGACAGCTCAGGGGGGGGGTGAAGGTTTTGTAACTCTTCTGTTTAAGTGGAATCATGCTTAAAATTATGAGTGAATAGTGAGCATCAGAGCCACGTGACTTCAGAGCTAGCTCTGGGGAAAGGCCTGGGCATGGGCCTCAGCCCAGTGGCGTGTCCAGATCTTTTAAAATGGGGTGGCCCAGGTGAGGCACAACTTTGTGCATGGGTGGCACCGATGGTTATGCTTTTTTTGTTGTACCCCCAAACCTTTTGTGAACAATGAAAAGCCTATATAAAGGTAAATTAGTGTGTTGGCACCTGGGGTGGCCAATCAGATTCCAAGGGTGGCTTGTGCTACCCCAGGCCACTCCCTGGACACGCCCCAGCCTCAGCCTGGGCCTGGGTCCTTTAACTGCTTGGTTAAACATGTTAGTGGGGCTGCATCAGAACCTTGAGCCGGTGGGCAGCTTCTCCCGTCCCCTGCCTGGGAACAGCGGGTGGCTGTTCCCCGTCTCCCATCGACACAACACCGGGACACGTGAGGCTGTGGTCATGCTGGTCACTTGTGGATCTCTGAGGGAGACCACAGAAACACCGTAGTTCTTTTAGTTGACACTGCTTCACTTTTGAGTCACTCAGCCACATTTTTCCTGCTAATAGATTACTGGTTGAATGAGGGGAAGTTCGATGCATTTACTGTGGACCAGCGAAGCCTGATATCCTCGGTCAGCTTACCTAGTTATGGTTTTGTTACCAAGCAGGCCGGAGGTGCCTTCACTTACGAGTCTCTCTACAGCATTTCTCTTGCTAAAAACACCTGGAAAAACTCTGTTAGCTTTGGGTTAGCATGTGGCTAATGTCCTGATGATCTCCAACCGTGGAGCATGAACTGATGTGGAAGTCCACGGCGCCCGGCTGTGATCGCAGCGGTCTGGCTCTGCTTGTAATTCAACAGTCCCAGTCCACACTAGATCTCCACAGGCGACCAGTATGACCACAGCCTCGCAAGGAGTGGGATGCCCCTGAGCCCCTTGCTTCTTGGGTTAGCTAAGTTAGCTAGTGGCTATGTTAGTTCATTTGTTCCAACCATAACAGCCACACCCTCAGCTCCACCTCTTTTCCCATTTTTGGATTGTCTGGGCGTGATGAGACGTGGGACACGGTCAAAATGGCGGTTGTGAGAACTTCCCATTTGGAAACAAAACCTTAGAAATCGAGCCTATGGACATGAATTGTCCAGTACATATGCCAGTGGTCAAGAATGAGTGTGTGGCCGGGTGCTTGTAGAAGAGTTGCAGCAGAACAAGGAAGAGAATAGCCAGACTGGACCACACGCTGTGGATCTGTCTGGCTTTCTTGTATAGTCTGGATCCTGGAACCTGAGGGTGCTTGTTTATCTCTTAACAAGGCTGTTGCTAGCTGAAGCTAACAGCTCAGGCTGCTAACAGAGGCGTGGCTAACCGTGGCTCTGCGGCAGCATTGATGCCACCCCTGTTTTAATATAGCTGATCCAAAAAGGTTCAAATGAAGGCAGCTGGACTTCTGTGGATTCTTGAAGACGTTTTGCTCCTTGCCAGAGGAGCTTTGTCAATTCTAACTGGAATAAGGGAGAGTCATAACTGTAGCTGTCTGTTGTTGTTTAACGAGCAGAAACTACTCTGAGTACCCCTCCTCTCCATCCCCTGATGAGTCGTTGCGTTGATTAGATGCAGGAAGGTGTGACCTAGACTGAAGCTGCTTGGGAATGAGAATCAAAGCTGCACAGACCAAGCTCCTCGGATGAGAAGTGAAACGTCTTCCATAAACCAAACGAGTCCAGTTGCCTTCATTTGAACCCAGATGACTGGATGACTGAGAACCTTCACCAGCACATCTAGCTGATGCTGAAGTGGGTTGGACTACAGATGAAGCACCTTAGAACGTGTTACCACAGCCCTGCTCACGGCGGGAGAAAACCTCCCGTCTGAGTCAGGTCACACACGGCGCTGACTCTTTGGTTTGCTACTTTTGCCCCCCCCCCCCCCCCCAGCTGTCTTTAGTCAACCACAAGGAAATGTTGCTTTAGATTATACCGTCTTTAATAAATCTAATCTAATCTGACAAAGGTAGAACCGTTGCAGAGAAAAGGATAAAAGATTCCAGTTACAGAAAAGTTGTTTCATCTTTATGGTAAAGGTGTAACTGAAATGAAGTATTCATAATCTGTTTCAGTACCCCGAATTAGAGATTATAGGAATGTCCGGTGTGATTTTCATGAAAATAACGTGCATGTGGGCTGCATGGTGGCGCAGTGGTTAGCACTGTTGCCTTGCAGCACGAAGGTTGCAGGTTCGAAACTCGGCTGCGGCCTTTCTGCGTGGAGGTGCGTGTTCTCCCCATGCATGCGTGGGTCTCCTCCGGGTACTCCGGTCTCCCCCGCAGATCACAGCACGCCCTGTAGGTTATAAACTGTAAGTTGCTTTGGATAAAAGCGACTGCTAAATAAATAAACATAAACATAAATAAACATAAACATGTGGAATAAAATCCATCAGTGATGAATCAGCATTCTGAATCTGCAGATTTGTTATTATTCTATTATTTATTATTATAAGAGAAGACTCTGATGGACTTGCTGTGGTTCCTGTTCTGCCTCATGGTGGCGCCACTTCATCAGAATAAATCTTCAACTCCTGAGTTTATTCCCACTTCCTGTTTTACCCCAGCAAAGCCTGACCTCAGATCAGCTGCTTCCACAGCTGACCGCAAACTGGTTTAATGAACTGATTCAGAGTTTGAGTTCAGTTAATTGGTTTTTGTTCTGAAATTTCCTGTTTGATAGTTTTATTTTATCTCGACACGAATCCAGAGAATAAAACTTAGTTCTGATCATTTTAGTCCTCCTAATCCCGCCAGTAGAAACTAACAACTTCTAGATTAGACGGGCTGGTGAGAATCTAAACACCACTAAGTGCAGCTGTGATGTTTTTATGTAGGATTATTTCATGACTGGTGGCAGATGTGTGAGAGCAACACAGACACACTAAAAATGTCTCCAAACAAGAAAATTCGAGTAAACACAACCAAATGACACGTTTATCTCTGTGTGACTCACAATGAGTCCTTCCAACGGTAACAAAGAAACGAGTACCCGCTAAACCCACAAGCAGATGCTAAAAATAACAACAAGAACAATTAAAGACACAATAGTACTTAATCAGGACCAAAACCGACAGGTACAAATCAACAGCATGAAGGTCAAAGGTCACGTTCAACCCAAAGAGATGTTCCAGCAGGTCTCTGCTGAGCAGATTAAGGGCGTGGCCTCCTGGCTCCGTCTGCAGCAACAGCTGGGCGTGTGGAGGCATGTAGGAACTCCATCCGTTCTCACACCGAGCAGGAGGGTTCAAACCCCCAAACCGGTGCCCAGGAGCCCCGCCCCCTCAGGTAGACTCCTTAAATGAGTCACAGGCTGCTGGACGTTCCAGGACTGAACTGGTTTCTGATCTTGTCGATTTCTGTTTAAATTGGAGTTCTTGCAGTTTACCTGATGTCATCATGCAGGTAAATGTTAAATGGAACACCTGCTGTGTGACTGATGGTGTCCTCTCAGCTCCACTAGTGAGTCACTGGTGGTTGTCATGGTGACCCCGATGAGCCACTGGCAGCAGCTTTAACATTTCTTACGTCCTGTTTTCTCTTGTATGTTTTAAAAATATTCGTTCTGTATTTTAATTAGATTTTTATTGGATGAATGATCTGTGGGGCGGTGAGAAGTTCCAGTCTGAATCAGTCTGGAGCTGCTGATGATGCTCAGACATAAATGAGGTCTGAAGTGTCCCTGGGGGGTGAGGGGGAGTTATTAAGGCCATCCTGGCACTTGGAGCAGAGAGAGACCCCCCAAACACGCACGCACTCTCTCTCTCTCTTAGTTCTCACCCTGCCATCCTGGTGTAGCTATTATTAGTTTAATATTAGAATCATTAATAATAATTATTATAATAACCAGTAAAATGCTGCAGATATTAGACTATTTGGACTGTGTGTGTGTGTGTGTATGTGTGTGTGTGTGTGTGTGTGTGTGTGTGTGTGTGTGTGTGTGTGTGTGTGTGTGTGTGTGTGTGTGTGTGTGTGTGTGGGCGTCCCCGTCTGAAGAGCAGCCTCCTCTCAGACCACTCCCGGGAAGCGCGCCGTGGTTCCGCCTCACTCGCGGACGGGTTCGGTTCGTCCTCGGTGCGCCTCCACTGCCGCGCGCGTCTGTCCTCCTCTCCGCCTTCCACTCCGGGTTCCAGGTGGAGGCATGTAGCACCGGATCGGGTCCCGAGCAGCATGTAGCACCTGGAGCTCGCGCACATCGCCTCCCCGCTGCGCTCCTCCTCCTCCCGGTTCTCCGGCTCATTCCTCCGGTCAGCACCAGCATCGCCTGCATCAGGGTTTTATTGGGGGTGGGTGGGGGGTGTGCGTGTGCGTGTGTCAGCCCGGGCCTGGTCTAGAGGAGTGTGCGTTCCTCCCGCTGCACCCCCGGTCGATGGTTGTTGAGGAAGCTTCCATCTTGAGTCCCGTTTCTACCAACAGAACCATGGCGAGCGACTCCCCTGCGCGGAGTCTGGATGAGATAGACCTGTCTGCACTACGGGTAAATACCTGTCTGTCTGTCTGTCTGTCTCTGTGTGTGTGCGCGTGCATATGCAACACCTGTCCACCCCCTCTCCCGTCCCTCACCGCTGTGGATGCGTCTCCCTGCGCCTTCCTCTGGTCTGGGCTGCCGCCCGACCTGTGGCGCGCACGCGCGTGCATTCATTCTACAGTGTATGTGTGCGGGAGCGTGTGTGGGTGGTGTGGGGGGGTTTATGTCCTCGTGCACGGCGGCCTGTGATGGAGGAGATGAGAGATTTGAGTGTTGGAGCAGCAGACTCCCTGGTTGTCGTTTGTTTGTTGTTTATTTCTGAACAATTGGGACGTGATGTAATGAGGCCCCGAGCCGCCGCTGCTGCGCGTGCACCCGCTCTACTGCATGCGCGTGCGTGGTGAGGCACCATCATAAAAGCCGCTCTGTCTGTAAATGTGGGGCAGATGTTAAGCTGCTCACTGACACTTTCACACGCGCACAATCAGAGGCACACACACACACACACACACTCTCTCTCTCTCTCTCTCTCTCTCTCTCTCTCTCTCTCTCACTCTAAAAGCGATGATAACCGCTACAGGAGCGAGTTCCGCCATTTCGTGATGTTGTGGCGACAGCAGCATTGCATCACAGCAGCGATTTGTGGGGCTGTGCGCGTGTGTGCGCGCGTGCGGTGATGGGAAGTGATGAGGAAGAGGCAGTGCAGGAATGTGTGTGTTTGCAAGTCTGTGCGCGTGCGTGCGCATGTTACATCCTGCACATCTTTCTCCTGCTGCTTACGCAACTAAGTTACCTGCAGAACAATCAGGCCTGGACATGATCCACCTGGTGTGTGTGTGTGTGTGTGTGTGTGTGTGTGTGTGTGTGTGTGTGTGTGTGTGTGTGTGTGTGTGTGTGTGTGTGTGTGTGTGTGTGTGAGAGGATGAGGAGGGACGATGAAGCTGCTTCAGTCTCAGCGGTTCTGAGCAGAAATTAGGTCACTCAGGATGGAGGAGAGAGAGGAGTGATGCAAAGCCAATTGCAGCCTCACTTCCTGTTCCTGGGAGCCTCTCCTCCCGCTCCTCCTCCATGACCATCCTCTCAGGTGTCCCAGTCACATTGGGGACAGTAGTCCCCATTGTCTCCATGGCCCACCTTCAGGTCCAGATCAGCTGTTGGACCCAGAGAGAACTAGAGCTTCGTTTTCCTGAGACAGACCTGATCAGCTGATCCCAAACGTGTTCCTGTTGTTATGACTTATGGTGTCTCACTGGTGTGTGTGTGTGTGTGTGTGTGTGTGTGTGTGTGTGTGTGTGTGTGTGTGTGTGTGTGTGTGTGTGTGTGTGTGTGTGTGTGTGTGTGTGTTTTGTTGCACCACTCTGGTGATTTTCAGTCACGGTGATGTTTTGGGTCTCGGTGGTGATTTAGTTGCAGCTCTCTGGGTTGCCCTGTAATCTGTAATCGTTACTCGCGGCCATGTTTGTTGCACCATGGTAGTGATTTAGTGACTCATTGTGTTAAACTGTAATCTTTTCTTATTGCTGTGGTTGTTTTTCCATCAGGTTGTGTTTATTTGTGGCTTGTTGTTGACTCTTTGTGAGTTTTTGCGATGGTTTTGTGTTTGATCTCATGGTTGTTTGTGTTTACTGACTCTTAGGGGTTCATTCTGGTTCATTCTGGTATCTTTTGGGTGGTTTTACACACAAACGTTCAGATGAAGCCGGGTAAACCCGTCTCACACCGCAGAGACTTCTAGATAAATCTCCCCTGAACCAATGAGACCAAAGCAGATCTTTCACCACAGTCAGACATGGCGGTGGCAGTATGATGGTTGGGCTGCTCTGCTGCTTCAGGACCTAGACCACTGAAGCTGATGGAATGTTGGACCTTTGACCTGAAACATGCTGGAAAACCCTAAAGTAGAGAAGAGTGGGACAAAATTCATTAGCGGGGTTGGTGTTAGCGAGTAGAACACCAGAGAGAGTTGGGGTTTAACTCGTTTTCTGTCCTTTGTCATGAGGAGGTGCGTCCTCCCACCAGCGTGCTGATGGCGTTCCCTTTCACCGGCAGAGCGTGGCTCCAGGTCTGGATCCAGCTTCTGCTGTTTCTGCATTAAAGCCATCAGAGTTATATTTAGCCTCCTTCATTTGCCTTTTTCCCTCCTGGATGTCGGGTATTTTCTGCTCGTGTGCGGTCTGACAGGCCATAAGAAGATGACATGCACGTGAAACCGTGCACGTGTGAGGCTGGGCCCTTGAGGATGAGACGTGCTTCAGTTTGACCTTGAGTGAAAAGGAACGCTGCTTTTTAAGCTAATCCCTTTCAGGAGGCTGCACTGTGGCCCACTACACACACACACATGCGCACACACACACACACACACACACACACACACACACACACACACACACACACACACACACACACACACACACACACACACACACACACACACACACACAGCCTGCTGCTTGTTCCTCTGCAGGTTTCCAGGAATTACACCTGTCCCAGGTGTGTGAGATGCTCAGGAGAACATCATAAATAATCTTTGTCAGGAATCTTCAGACGTCAAACTAACAAAGTTTAGATCTACCAGGTTGGGTTACTTGGTAGTCTGTCGGTAATCCAGATTAATCCTCAGATTATCTCATATGTGTGTATTACTGATAAATCTACTCATCACTTCAGCAGGAACGTCTGATGTTAATAATTAATAACTTTCTCTTCAAGACTTTCACATGATCGGTTTCTAAGCTGCAGCATGGAGGTAACGCCCCTCCTCCATTAAAACATCCCATAATGAGCCCGTGCTAATTTCCACCTTAGTTTAAAGTCATCTCCTGACGGCAGCAGATGCAGGATCTTCTGTCCTCATCCTGCTGAATGATCTCCTGCTTCCCTTCTAACCAGCTTCACCACACCAGCGGACACACATCTGGGCCCGTGTCTGTCACCTGCGGGGACCTGGACCTGGTTCAGTCTGACTTGGTTCACACAGCAGGAAAAAGGGGGCTGACCTGATCTTCATCTATTATCTTAAGGGTGCTCCGGATAACCGGAATGGCTCTAAAGATAATCTCATCAGATAATCCTACTGTGTGTGGTGTGTTACGAGCGTTCAGGTCTGCTCAGAAGGATGTTGCGACCACGCTGCTCATACATCAGGGACGTTAAACGTGCTGGTTTGTCTTGTTTGATTATCAAGGACAAACGAGTGACGTGTCGTCAGTCCGGGGGGGGGGCAAAACCGCCTCCGCCATGTTTGTTAACTCTTAAGTCACGTTTGATCTTGGGCATTTCCCCACCTGACCGTGAATGTTTTTGTGTGAAATTGGTTCGTGCGTGGTTATTGGTGCACACACACCACAGTAGGACCAACACTGGAGCATCCATGTTGGGTGAACTGGGTCAAAGATGAGGCTGATGTGAGGCGTCTCCATGTGAGTGAAACAGATGTGGAGCTGCAGACACCTGAGCATTTAGCCCAAACTTTACATGCGATGTCATTAAACATGATTAAAGTTATTCAAAACCACCGTTAGCTTAAACGTCATCTAGCTAACATGACTGGTTCCCATTCAGAGTCACTCTGGTTCTGCTGTTGCTGTGTGGTTCTGGGATCTGAGCTGGGACCAGGACCAAAGTTCTGATCAGAGACGCGACATTTTTTCCTGATCAGCCTCTTCTCTTCCTCTCTTTCAGGACCCAGCTGGGATCTTTGAGCTGGTCGAACTGGTTGGAAATGGCACCTATGGGCAGGTGTACAAGGTAGGACTTGATTTAAGGTGGACTGGGGGCTTGAATGAGTATGGTTAGATCTCAGAATGGGTAAAATAAAATCCTTTATCTTTCAATGAGGAGTTATTTGTTTGTTTTTGAAGTTTTTGAAGCAAATAAATCTTAAATCATCATAGTTTGTATTTATGAAACAGAAATGGTTCTGATTTAAGGGTCAGTCCGGGATTAAATCGGAGTTTAAGTGTGTAATCTAAGCTTTGACACAAGTGATTTACTCCTGCTTTAGTTCCATTAAAACAACTCAGAAACGTCTGAATTCAGAAAAAACCCAAACGTTTCTATCGACTTCTGTGAACCGCCCATGCTACCTGTGTGTGTGTGTGTGTGTGTGTGTGTGTGTGTGTGTGTGTGTGTGTGTGTGTGTGTGTGTGTGTGTGTGTGTGTGTGTGTGTGTGTGTGTGTGTGTGTGTGTGTGTGTGTGTGTGTGTGTGTGTGTGTGTGTGTGTGTAAGTGTGTGTAAGTGTGTGTGTGTGTGTAACTTTGGGAGTAATTAACACACTTGAGCGTCTCTGACGCTGGGGTTGTGTCTGCTGGGTGAGCCGCATCGATCTGCCGTTCCGACGCGTCGGCGCCTCTGCAGAAGTGACTGATGGAGCAGAGTTCGTACCAGCTGCTGATGATGGAGACACAACAGGACGAATTATTACAACGCTGCAGCGGCGCCACCTTAAAATCACAGGACAGCTTCAGAGTTTACATTAGAGCTGGTTAGGTCGCTTTTTCCGCCATTTTTATGCAAAAACTCAGTTTGCATGTGAGAGTTTGGGACACCTACCTGCCTAAAGCGGAGAAGCCTCACTACTCACCTGAATTTTTACCTGTTTCCACACCTGCAGCTGAACAACAAATGAAAAAGCACACAATGATTTAAAAGATGTTGTTTGATCAGGAATCAAGTGAATGTGGTGAAAAAATCAGCTACCTTTAAATGTTTGGATGTAGGGGAACCAGGTGAGGAAGCCCCGCCCCTTGTGGAGCTCAGGTAGAATAACCATCCATACGTCCGTTGTCATCTGTCTCATTACTGGATACAAGAATTAGTTTATTATTTATAAACATGGGCAAAATGATGCTGACCCCCTGTCACCTGTAATCCAGGTAAATTGGAATGTTTTCAGCTTCATTATAGAAAAAAACATCACCAGATGGAAAACTGTTCATGTCCTCAGCTTTTATTCCGGACCACCGCAGCCTGACGAACCTCCTCTCCAGGCTACAGATGAATTAGGGTTGATCATCTTTCTTCATGGTTTCACTAATTATTGTAAATTAATTATTTCTTCCTGGAAACTTTTAGCCGTTCTCCAAGAAGCTGAACCAATGATGAAATCATTCGTAACTTCCGCTGAAAAAAGGAGCTCAGGGTTCTGGTTTGTGTCCAGTTCTGTCACAGTTAGTGAATGCGACATGGTGCCGCCGCTCAGGTTCAGCCTCCTGCTACCTTTGACCTTTTCGTGACCTTTGTTTCTGTTTGCCGGGCGTCTAAAAGCTCCGGCCGACGCTCGGCCAATCAGGGGCCGACTTGACATTTGATCAGATCTGATTAGGATGTGAATCTGCCTCCTTAAAGTGGAGTTTATTCAATCTGATCCATCGACTGGCGCTCAGGCAGGCCGGAAATCTCCTCCACCTCCCTGCAGAGGTGTCTGCGATCAAACCGAAGGAATCAGCAGGAGGAAGAGGAATTCTAAACATTCCAATGGCTTGGAAAAACGGTGTTTCAAAGCATTTTTACTTTCATTTCCATCACATTCCTGGCAGCTGGAGAGCATTTATTTAGCGTCAGCTGCAAACTCCCAAACGGAAGTGTTAGATTTGTCTCTGAGGGGAGAGTCGGTGTTCAGAAGGAGCAGGTCTGAAGTCTGAAGCTGGTGAAGCTGCAGGAGGCGCCTGTCGGATGTTCTGGTGTCACAGCCTTTTGTTTACCAGCTCTGAGTGTGGGTTCTTTTGTGGTTTCACTTCCTGAAAATATCTCCTTCTGTGACACTTTAAACAACCTGCAATTTACCGGCTGATCTGATTGGCTGAAGAAGGAACCAGTAAAACAACGGCTGGTTTCTACTCAACCAGGAGGAAGAGATCTAAAAGCAAGAGCAGCAAAAAAGCATTTCACCGCAAATAAGAACTGATCCGACGTGTTTCTACCCACGGTCCTGTGGCTGGTTTTTAAATTAAACAGCTGATGTGGTGTGGGAGACATGAGATTATAGATGACAGGAGATTAAACACACCCACAGCTCATCAGGTCCACTGCATCAAACCCCAATAAGCTCCAAGCTGAGCTATAGAGTCCATGCATTTGAAGAGAACTGGGCCAAGAGATCCACAGTAATGAGAGCGTGGTTCCGGTCTGCCGTAGTAAAGCAGCTGAGCTGAAAAGAATATCCCGGACAAGCCCCTAAAACTCAGAGTCTCATTGTTAAATATTAAGCCTTTGCATGGCTATCACCTCTGTATACTTCCACAAAACCCAATCATCAGCTGATAAAACCAGAGTTGTGTTTGCAGGTTGTTGCTTTGGTTCATCTCGGTAGAGCTGTAGATAATGATCTCATTCAAGCCCCCAAATGCTTTAACAGTTTGCAGGATTAACTTCTTACTTTACCTTAAAAATGTTTACACAATTATAAATTCAATTTTTTTATTGAGTCTTCTTCTGTGGTGAAAAACAGCTGAGCTGAAAGATGAAGCTCATCTCATCTTCTACCCACCGAAGCTGAGAGGTGGCTCAGCCTTAGAAAGGGTGTAAGAGGAGCTCGGAGAGCCCCGGCTGTATAATATGAATTTTTTTATTTCAAAAGTTTAACATCTAAATTGAAATCTAACATTTTCTGAATATACGTATATTTAATGTGTAAAGAAGCACAGACCAATACACCTGCTGTGTCTGCTTTTTGGGGGCTCATCCGGGATGTTTCTGTTTCAGAAACTGCAGCAGAATATAAATCGTAGTTTTTCTTTTTTGGCGGCTATTTTGGATTTAGTGAATTTAGATTTTGGCCGGTTTACAAATTGAAGGGGATGTGGCCATAGATGTAGTTTAAACTGTCAGCTTAAATTAGAAACAAACTTAACTAAAACGTTTCATCCATCGTTTCTGACTCCTGCCTGTAACTCCTCAACAGTTCCTTCTAAACTGGGTTTAGTCCTTTACTACTGGTGTTGTTGGCATGGATCAGCTGATTCATCAGACTTTTGTTATTATCTGATTTTGCACATCTGGTCTCTGGAGCTTCGCTGAGACCAGCTGTAAAACATCCGACCTTCAGAACATCTTCTGCTGTTTTAACATCAGTGATTGAACCCTCCAGTCCTAAAGCGGATAAGGTTGGCGCTCCAGTCGCTGCTCTGCTGATGAACGAGAGGATGTTTAACTCATTTTGTGAACTTTTTGGAAACGATCTTGCCAGGTTCACACAACAGTTGGGTTTATGTGAATAATCACAACTTTATTAATGTTCGCTGGAGAAACTGTCAGAACTGTTAGTCGTGTTGGAGTCGTGTCTCACTGCAGCCTGGGAGACTTCTGCCTTTAGACGCCTCCTGCAGACACACTTTGTTCCTGCTGCTGTTCTCTAATCTTACAGGAAACTGGAACGATTTCAGGGTTTTTAACGCAGCCGATCATCTCCGATTCAGGAAGAAGTTCTCCTGGTTTATGCAGGAAAGGAACTCCTCTTGTTTGGGAATTCCTGACGTCTCCTTGACTGGAATGAAACATCAGTAACCTTGGAGTTGTGGTTTCTGCAGATATCAGCAGGTGATTCATGCAGTCAGAAATCTAACAAGAACAAACAAAGTCTGGATTCTCAGAAAACAGAACCACGTTTCCGTCTCAGTTCCTGGGATGAAACCTGCTGATTCCTGCAGAAACTTCGTCGTCGTCGTCGTCTTCCTCCGCTTATCCGGGTCCGGGTCGCGGGGGCAGCATCCCAACTAGGGAGCTCCAGGCCGTCCTCTCCCCGGCCTTGTCCACCAGCTCCTCCGGCAGGACCCCAAGGCGTTCCCGGACCAGATTGGAGATGTAACTTCTCCAACGTGTCCTGGGTCGACCCGGGGGCCTTCTGCCGGCAGGACATGCCCGAAACACCTCCCCGGGGAGGCGTCCAGGAGGCATCCTGACCAGATGCCCAAACCACCTCAACTGGCTCCTTTCGATCCGGAGGAGCAGCGGTTCTACTCCGAGTCCCTCCCGGATGTCCGAGCTCCTCACCCTATCTCTAAGGCTGAGCCCGGCCACCCTACGGAGGAAACTCATTTCGGCCGCTTGTATCCGCGATCTCGTTCTTTCGGTCATTACCCAAAGCTCATGACCATAGGTGAGGATTGGGACGTAGATCGACCGGTAAATCGAGAGCCTGGCTTTCTGGCTCAGCTCCCTCTTCCCCACGACAGATCGGCTCAGCGTCCGCATCACTGCAGACGCCGAACCAATCCGCCTGTCGATCTCCCGATCCCTCCTACCCTCACTCGTGAACAAGACCCCGAGATACTTAAACTCCTCCACTTGAGGTAGGACCTCTCCCCCGACCCGGAGGTGGCAAGCCACCCTTTTCCGGTCGAGAACCATGGTCTCAGATTTGGAGGTGCTGATCCTCATCCCAGCCGCTTCACATTCGGCCGCGAACCTACCCAGCAAGAGCTGAAGGTCAGAGCTGGATGAAGCTAGGAGGACCACATCATCCGCAAAAAGCAGAGACGAGATTCTCCTGCCACCAAACTCGACACACTCCACACCACGGCTGCGTCTAGAAATTCTGTCCATAAAAGTGATGAACAGAACCGGTGACAAAGGGCAGCCCTGGCGGAGTCCAACCCTCACTGGGAACAGGTCCGACTTACTACCGGCTATGCGGACCAAACTCACGCTCCTCTGGTAAAGGGACTGAATGGCCCTTAACAGAAAGCCACCCACCCCATACTCCTGGAGCGTCCCCCACAGGGTGCCCCTGGGGACACGGTCATAAGCCTTCTCCAAATCCACAAAGCACATGTGGATTGGTTGGGCAAACTCCCATGCCCCCTCCATCACCCTTGCAAGGGTATAGAGCTGGTCCACAGTTCCACGGCCAGGACGAAAACCACATTGCTCCTCCTCTATCTGAGATTCAACTATCGATCGGACCCTCCTCTCCAGTACCTTGGCGTAGACCTTTCCAGGGAGGCTGAGGAGTGTGATCCCCCTATAGTTGGAACACACCCTCAGGTCACCCTTCTTAAAGATGGGGACCACCACCCCGGTCTGCCACTCCCTAGGAACTGCCCCCGATGACCACGCAATGTTGTAGAGACGTGTCAACCATGACAGCCCTACAACATCCATAGCCTTGAGATACCCAGGACGAACCTCATCCGCCCCCGGGGCTCCGCCGCTGTGTAGTTGTTTGACTACCTCAGCAACTTCTGCCCCCGAGATCGGACAGTCCATCCCCAGGCCTCCCAGCTCTGGTTCCTCCTCGGAATGCGCATTGGTGGGATTGAGGAGCTCCTCAAAGTATTCCTTCCACCGTCCGACTATAGCCTCAGTTGACGTCAGCAGCTCCCCATCCCCACTGTAAACAGTGTGAGCGAGTTGCTGCCTTCCTCTCCTGAGGCGCCGGACAGTTTGCCAGAACCTCTTTGGAGCCGATCGATAGTCTTTCTCCATGGCCTCACCAAACTCCTCCCACGCCCGAGATTTTGCCTCGGCAACTGCCACTGCTGCACCCCGCTTGGCTATCCGGTACCTGTCTGCTGCCTCCGGAGACCCACAGACCAGCCACGCCCTGTAGGCCTCCTTCTTCAGCCTGACGGCTCCCCGAACCTCTGGTGTCCACCAGCGGGTACGGGGGTTGCCACCACGACTGGCACCGGCCACCTTACGACCACAGCTAGCAACAGCCGCCTCGACAATCGCAGAGTGGAACAAGGCCCACTCGGACTCAATGTCCCCCACTGCTCTCGGGACGTGGTCAAAGCTCTGCCGGAGGTGGGAGTTGAAGACCGTCTTGACAGGTTCTTCTGCCAGGCGTTCCCAGCAGACCCTCACTATGCGTTTGGGTCTGCCAGGTCTACGCGGCATGTTCCCTTGCCATCTGATCCAACTCACCACCAGGTGGTGATCAGTTGACAGCTCCGCCCCTCTCTTCACTCGGGTGTCCAAAACATACGGCCGCAGGTCAGATGATACGACTACAAAATCTATCATCGACCTGTGACCTAGGCTGCCCTGGTACCAAGTGTACCGGTGGGCATCCTTATGTTCGAACATGGTGTTCGTTATGGCCAAACTGCGGCTTGCACAGAAGTCCAATAACAAAACACCGCTCGAGTTCTGATCAGGTGGGCCGTTCCTCCCAATCACACCCCTCCAGGTCAAGCTGTCATTGCCCACGTGAGCATTGAAGTCCCCCAGCAGGACAATGGAGTCCCCTGATGGAGCACTATCTAGCACTCGTCCCAGGGACTCCAAAAAGGGTGGGTACTCTGAACTGATATTTGGCCCATAAGCACAAACAACAGTCAGGACCCGTTCCCCGACCCGAAGGCGCAAGGAAGCTACCCTCTTGTCCCCCGGGGTAAACCCCAACACACAGGCAGAGAATCTCGGGGCTAACAAAAAGCCAACCCCAGCCCTCCGCCTCTCACCCGGAGCAACTCCAGCAAAGTAGAGTGTCCAACCCCTCTCCAGGTCTCGGGTTCCAGAGCCAATGCAATGTGTCGAGGTGAGTCCGACTATATCTAGCCGGTACCGCTCAACCTCTGCCACAAGCTCCGGCTCCTTCCCCACCAGCGAGGTGACGTTCCATGTCCCAAAAACTAGTTTTCTTGTCCGGGGATTGGACCGCCAAGGCTCCCGCCTTGGTCTGCCACCCGATTCACATTGCACCGGACCCTTCATGTTCCTCCTGCGGGTGGTGGGTCCACAGTTGGACGAGCCCATGTATCCGGTTCGGGCTGGGCCCGGCCGGGCCCCATGGGCGAAAGCCCGGCCACCAGGCGCTCGCTCACGGGCCCCAACCCCAGGCCTGGCTCCAGGGTGGGACCCCGGTAACCCTCCGGGCCGGGTACTCCGACTCTTCGTTTTCACCGCCATGAAAGATCCTTCGAACCGTTCTTTGTCTCACCCTTCACCTAAGACCAATTTGTCATGGGAGACCCTACCAGGGGCACTAAGTGCCCCAGACAACATAGCTCCTAGGATCATTAGGGCACTCAAACTCCTCCACCACGATAAGGTGACGGTTCAAGGAGGAGCAGAAACTTGTTGTTTAGAAACTCTTTAACAAAATTAGACAGAAGAAATGTTTAAAAATTGTTTCTCAAAACTTTGAAAAATCCTTAAAAACTTTTAATTTAGAGACTCAGAAGAGCTAAAAGCATCAAACCATTTAAATATAATCGTTTGTGTTTGGTTGATTAAATTCTTCTATCAGATCAGGTCAAACCTCTCTGTCTCTGTCACACACACACACACACACACACACACACACACACACACACACACACACACACACACACACACACACACACACACACACACACACACACACACACACACACACACACACCTGGTCTCCCTGTTGTTTTAGGCGCTGTGCAGCAGAAACCCATTTTCTGCACGTTCTGCTCCGATGATCTCACGCTCCAGCTGATATTCTGACGATTCTGCAACTTTAAAGTTCCTGATGCTCCGACTCCGGGCTTCAGGAGGATAAAAGGCTGCTGCTGACTGGAACATAAAGGCTGCTGTTTCTATTTTTACTTTCACGCCTGAAATGCCAGATTTGAAATGCCTTTACATGCAGACAAAAACCGACCCGGTCCGTTTCCACAGACAAGGGTTTGGATTTGAGCTCCTCCATGTGCCCGGGCTTGTGTCTGGGTTAGGAATGTCAGGCATGTCTGGATGCAGCTCCTGAGCCTCAGGCTGCTGCAGGAGGACGCTCAGCTCTTCACTCCTCCTGCTGCTCCTGCTCTGCCTCTATGTGCAGATTCAGATTTAATGCAACTTTCTCACCTCCACTATAATCTCACACACACACACACACACACACACACACACACACACACACACACACACACACACACACACACACACACACACACAGAGGGAGCGCCGTGTCACCTTTGGGAGATTGCCTGGCCGGCCGTCAGCGTCCGGGGAAAACAGATAACAGAAGAAAGAGCCTCTCTGAGATATTATCACTTCCTCTCATCTGCCCAGCTTTATCTGCACCACCTTTTATTGCTTCATCCAGGTGGATCGCTGCCATTTGTCCTGGAGTCACAGCCACACTTCACACACTTAACCCTGCTCAAAAGGCCTGTTCACACTCACCTCCGTGTGACAGAGGTCTGGGAGAAAATCCCTCTCAAATCCAGAATCAGGTGAATAAAACTAGTACTGAAACCAGCCACTAGGGGGCGTTAACCACTGAGCTGCACTCAGATGTTTAGTTTGTGTTTATGTCGATGATTCAGCCAAAGTCATGTGACCAGTGAGTCACAGAAAAAATACAGAAGTAATCGCCCTAACCCTAACTCCAGCTCCAGATCAGGAATATTTAACAGGATCGTAGGAATCAGGAACAAAAGATGAGCGACAGACAGAAGCAGATGGAGACGTTGGGTCCTCTGAGGTGATTTGGTCCTGTCAGAGACATTCAGTTTCTGATGCAACGCTGAGTAACCGAGACGGTGTGTGTGTGTGTGTGCGTGTGTGTGTGTGTGTGTGTGTGTGTGTGTGTGTGTGTGTGTGTGTGTGTGTGTGTGTGTGTGTGTGAGAACCGGTGTGTGAAAAATCAGGCACACACAAACGCCTCTTGCTGCCATCACTTCGCCTCCTCCGAAGCCTCTCCATTCGCTTGCCCTTGCTGCCACAGCCTGTTGCTAGGCAACCAGCAGGAAACGGCGTGCGTGCCGAAGTGAATGAATTTCCACTTTTCTGGCTTCTACAGCTTCTCTGATACCGACTTCAGACGAAGAGAGGTGTCGGTTTGACTTGAACAGGTCCTGGAGACCTTCAGATGTTACGAGTTTGATCCAGGAGTTTTTCACACGCTAAGGAACACGCTATTTATCCGTGTTTGGCTCAAGATGAGGTGCAGAAGCAGCCAGTTGGGAGAAAAACGTAATTATTTCACCATAAAAACCAATTAACAGTTCTGCCGAAGCAGGAAGACCAAAACCGAATTTAAAAACTAAATAAGTCAAACAGAAATAATATCAGAGCTGAAGAGAAGACCTGCAAAGATCTGAGTCGGAAACAGGTGAGGTCACACCGGGGTCCAGGTGAGGACAGGGCGCAAACTGTCCCTGATTTAAACATCAACAAAAGTCAGAAGCAACTATTAAACACGAAAATCATCCAAATAAAGTTTTACATGAAAGAATCGTTCAGAGCAGGAAAATAATGTAGAAACGCAACTAAACGGGCAAATTGAGTGATTAGAGAGGATTGAAACATCTAGAAAAGGATGTAAGATGGATGAGTTCCATCAGCTCAGATGTGGAAACATGTAAAAGTAAGAAGAACCCTTCAAAATAAAAGACTCCTCATAAAGCCGGTCATTGGAAACGCTGAGTCAGCACGAAGCATTTTGATCTCCTGTCTGTTTTTCAGGGTCGACATGTCAAGACGGGTCAGCTGGCTGCCATCAAGGTCATGGATGTCACCGGAGTACGTGTCTCTTTTGGGCTTTATTTCTGCCGTGCACCACAGAAAACGCTGCCTCCTAATGTGTGTGCGTGCGTGCGTGTGTGTGTGTGTGTGTGTGTGTGTGTGTGTGCGTGCGTGCGTGCGCGTGCGTGCGTGCGTGTGTGTGTGTGTGTGTGTGCGTGCGTGCGTGCGTGCGTGTGTGCGTGTGTGCGTGTGTGTGTCAGGATGAGGAGGAGGAGATTAAAGCTGAGATCAACATGTTGAAGAAGTACAGCCATCACAGGAACATTGCCACCTACTACGGGGCCTTCATCAAGAAGAACCCGCCTGGCATGGACGACCAGCTCTGGGTACGGGTTTGTCTGAGTCACGTTGGGACTGTCCAGGAGAAGTGCTGATGATGTTTGTGTTTGTGGACTCAGCTGGTGATGGAGTTCTGCGGAGCCGGATCAGTGACGGATCTGATCAAAAACACCAAAGGGAACTCTCTGAAGGAGGAGTGGATTGCCTACATCTGCAGGGAGATCCTCAGGGTGAGAACCCAAACTAAAGCTGACCCAGACACGTTCCCTGTGGAGCTCCGGGTGATGAAACACGTTTTGGGCTTAGAGAACAAAGACCGATTGAAGGTTCTGTGTGTCCAGGGTCTGACCCACCTCCACCAGCACAAAGTGATCCACAGAGACATCAAAGGTCAGAACGTTCTGCTGACGGAGAATGCAGAAGTGAAACTGGGTGAGAGAACATCCTGACCATCAGGTGTGTTACACAGAAACCTGCTAGCTGACAGCCAACCATGTCCTTGTGTTTGTGTAGTGGACTTCGGCGTGAGCGCCCAGCTGGACCGCACCGTGGGGCGGAGGAACACCTTCATCGGAACGCCGTACTGGATGGCTCCTGAGGTCATCGCATGTGACGAGAACCCAGATGCCACGTATGACTTTAAGGTAGACCTGATGGGGTATGATCCAGTCATGTGGATCTGGGGCAGGTTCTGGATCTGTTCTGGTCTGGATTTTAGGTCTGGTGCAGCAGAGATTTTATTTCTCCCCTCATTTAGGGTCCAACATTGATTGGTTTTGACTCTTTTTAGAGTTCTGTAAGAATTTTAGACCATTTTGTGATTCTAACCCATGATACTTATCCTGACCCTGATACTTATCCTTTCCCTGATCCTGATACTTATCCTGATACGTATCCTGATCCTGACCCCGATACTTATCCTTACCCTGATCCTGATACTTATCCTGACCCTGATCCTGACCCTGATACTTATCCTGATCCTGATACTTATCCTGACCCTGATACTTATCCTTTCCCTGATCCTGATACTTATCCTGATACGTATCCTGATCCTGACCCCGATACTTATCCTTACCCTGATCCTGATACTTATCCTGACCCTGATCCTGATCCTGATACTTATCCTGATCCTGATACTTATCCTGACCCTGATACTTATCCTTTCCCTGATCCTGATACTTATCCTGATCCTGACCCCGATACTTATCCTTACCCTGATCCTGATACTTATCCTGACCCTGATCCTGATCCTGATCCTGATACTTATCCTGACCCTGATCCTGATACTTATCCTGACCCTGATACTTATTCTAATCCTGACCCTGATCCTGATACTTATCCTGACCCTGATACTTATTCTAATCCTGATACTTATTCTAATCCTGACCCTGATACTTATCCTTTGCCTGATCCTGATCCTGATCCTGCCCCTGACTCTGATACTTATCCTGACCCTAATCCTGCCCCTGATCCTGACTCTGATAGTTATCATGATCCTGACTCTGATCCTGATATTTACCAAGCTTTTGTGTCACTAAATCTGTTGAACTTTTACTTTTGCCTCCATCTTTGGAGTGAAACTGCTCTCATCTGAACCAAACTTCAACGTGACCTTTAGAAAGATCTCAGTGATCAGATGTTTAGTGGAGGTTTGTAATCCCAGGTCGTTCCCACCCGACTGTGCCGAGGGAAGATGAGAGGCCTCCTGGGAGCCGTGGCCGGGTGAAGTAGATGCAGTAATGGGGACAGAACGCACCCCAGTGGCAAACCGGTTGATGACGAGTGCCTACACCATTAACTCCACCCCTCCGGGGCTTCATGTGTCAGGAAAGCGTCTGAGTCCGTCTCACAGCGGCTTCTTGTTGAAACGAAAGAGAGAAGGGATGAAATGCTGGCAGGAATGTGCAGCAGCAGCAGGGGCAGATGGGTAATTTCTCTGCCTGTATTTTTAACACTTGACGGGAACACTGACCGTTGGACGAGTCTTGCAGGAGCTGGAAGTGTTGAGTCGGTAACACGTTGGGAGGATGTGAACGTTGTCTCTCCCTCTCTCTGCAGAGTGATCTGTGGTCGCTCGGCATCACCGCCGTTGAGATGGCAGAGGGAGCTCCACGTAAGTGTGATAACACCAGGATCAGCGGATGAACAGCACAGTTTGTCTTCAGCTTCCAGTCACATCCAGTCACAAGTCACAAGTCACTCCACCTCACTTCCTTTATTCTGTTCTTTCCTCCTTCCTCCTCCTCCTCAGCCCTGTGTGACATGCATCCAATGAGAGCGCTCTTCCTCATTCCCAGGAATCCCGCCCCGAGACTCAAATCCAAGAAGTGGTGAGTGTCCTGATGTGGTGGAGCAACATTTTCATAAATAAAACCTAAAACAGGTCAGAAGAGCGAGACTCGGTCTGCGTTTGTGTCTTCAGGTCGAAGAAGTTCCAGTCGTTCATCGAGAGCTGCCTGGTGAAGAGCCACAGCCAGAGGCCCAGCACCGAGCAGCTCCTCAAGCATCCCTTCATCAGAGACCTTCCCAACGAGCGGCAGGTCCGAATCCAGCTGAAGGACCACATCGACCGCACCAAGAAGAGGAGGGGAGAGAGAGGTGAGGCCACGCCTCCTCGTGACTCACCTCACAGCTGCTAGAAACCCTGACATGAAATCTGTTTCCTGTCAGATGAGACGGAATACGAGTACAGCGGGAGCGAGGAGGAGGATGAGGAGAGGGACATCGGAGAGCCCAGGTAGGAAAACTGTCTCCGGGATCCGATTCAGGATCTTTCCCTCTCCTGCTGCGCTCCTATGAATTTACAGACTATTGATTTAAACACTTTAATCTACTTATGGAGCAACATGATGGGTCTGAGACGCGGTTCTGGCAGGTGCTCCATCTCCGCTGACCCGGGTCGATCAGGGCCTCCTGAGACGCCGCTGGACGGCACCAAACCTGACAGAATTAAATCCGGTTTCAGACGGATGCTGTCTCTAACTCTCCTCCGTTTGGCTGCCTTCCAGCTCCATCATCAACATTCCTGGAGAGTCCACTCTGAGGCGGGACTTCCTGCGCCTCCAGCTGGCCAATAAGGAGCGTTCAGAGCTGATCCGGCGCCAGCAGCTGGAGCAGCAGCAGAACGAGGAGCACAAGCGCCAACTACTGGCCGAGAGGCAGAAACGAATAGAGGAGCAGAAGGAGCAGCGGCGGCGACTGGAGGAGGTTCAGCTCCCTTTATTATTTACCAGCATCACACCTGTGTTGTTGGCTCGTCCAGGTACCAGGTAAACACACCTGATGGACACAAACACACAGCTGATGCTCCCATGTGCTTCAACCGTTCAGCAACAGAGACGAGACCGAGAGCTGAGGAAGCAGCAGGAGCGGGAGAGGAGGAGGTACGAGGAGATCGAGCAGCTCCGCAGGGAGGAGGAGAGGAGGCATGCTGAGAGAGAGCAGGTAGGAGAACACCTGACAGAGGTCTCTGAAGGCTTTCTGAAGGTCTCTGAAGGCTTTCTGAAGGTCTGTGAATGTTTTCTGAAGGTCTCTGAAGGCTTTCTGAAGGTCTGTGAATGTTTTCTGAAGGTCTTTGAAGGCTTTCTGAAGGTCTGTGAATGTTTTCTGAAGGTCTTTGAAGGCTTTCTGAAGGTCTGTGAAGGTTTTCTGAAGGTCTGTGAAGGTTTTCTGGATGTCGTTGAAGGTTTTCTGTAGGTCTTTGAATGTTTTCTGAAGGTCTGTGAAGGTTTTCTGTAGGTCTGTGAAGGTTTTCTGAAGGTCTCTGAATGTTTTCTGAAGGTCTGTGAAGGTTTTCTGAAGGTCTGTGAAGGTTTTCTGAAGGTCTGTGAAGGTTTTCTGAAGGTCTGTGAAGGTTTTCTGGATGTCGTTGAAGGTTTTCTGAAGGTCTTTGAATGTTTTCTGAAGGTCTGTGAAGGTTTTCTGTAGGTCTGTGAAGGTTTTCTGAAGGTCTCTGAATGTTTTCTGAAGGTCTGTGAAGGTTTTCTGTAGGTCTGTGAAGGTTTTCTGGATGTCGTTGAAGGTTTTCTGTAGGTCTGTGAAGGTTTTCTGAAGGTCTGTGAAGGTTTTCTGGATGTCGTTGAAGGTTTTCTGAAGGTCTTTGAATGTTTTCTGAAGGTCTGTGAAGGTTTTCTGTAGGTCTGTGAAGGTTTTCTGAAGGTCTCTGAATGTTTTCTGAAGGTCTGTGAAGGTTTTCTGTAGGTCTGTGAAGGTTTTCTGGATGTCGTTGAAGGTTTTCTGAAGGTCTGTGAAGGTTTTCTGAAGGTCTGTGAAGGTTTTCTGGATGTCGTTGAAGGTTTTCTGAAGGTCTTTGAATGTTTTCTGAAGGTCTGTGAAGGTTTTCTGTAGGTCTGTGAAGGTTTTCTGAAGGTCTCTGAAGGTTTTCTGAAGGTCTGTGAAGGTTTTCTGTAGGTCTGTGAAGGTTTTCTGGATGTCGTTGAAGGTTTTCTGAAGGTCTGTGAAGGTTTTCTGGATGTCGTTGAAGGTTTTCTGAAGGTCTTTGAATGTTTTCTGAAGGTCTGTGAAGGTTTTCTGTAGGTCTGTGAAGGTTTTCTGAAGGTCTCTGAATGTTTTCTGAAGGTCTGTGAAGGTTTTCTGTAGGTCTGTGAAGGTTTTCTGGATGTCGTTGAAGGTTTTCTGTAGGTCTGTGAAGGTTTTCTGGATGTCTTTGAAGGTTTTCTGAAGGTCTCTGAATGTTTTCTGAAGGTCTTTGAAGGCTTTCTGAAGGTCTGTGAAGGTTTTCTGAAGGACTGTGAAGGTTTTCTGGATGTCGTTGAAGGTTTTCTGTAGGTCTTTGAAGGTTTTCTGAAGGTCTCTGAATGTTTTCTGAAGGTCTTTGAAGGCTTTCTGAAGGTCTGTGAAGGTTTTCTGTAGGTCTGTGAAGGTTTTCTGAAGGTCTCTGAATGTTTTCTGAAGGTCTGTGAAGGTTTTCTGTAGGTCTGTGAAGGTTTTCTGGATGTCGTTGAAGGTTTTCTGGATGTCGTTGAAGGTTTTCTGAAGGTCTGTGAAGGCGTTCCAAAGGTCTGTGAAGGCTTTCTGAAGGTCTGTGAAGGCTTTCTGAAGGTCTGTGAAGGCTTTCTGAAGGTCTTTGAAGGCTTTCTGAAGGTCTTTAAAGGTTTTCTGAAGGTCTTTGAAGGTTTTCTGAAGGTCTTTGAAGGTTTTCTGAAGGTCTTTGAAGGCTTTCTGAAGGTCTTTGAAGGTTTTCTCTAGGTCTGTGAAGGTTTTCTGAAGGTCTTTGAAGGTTTTCTGAAGGTCTTTGAAGGTTTTCTGAAGGTCTTTGAAGGCTTTCTGAAGGTCTTTGAAGGTTTTCTGTAGGTCTGTGAAGGTTTTCTGAAGGTCTTTGAAGGTTTTCTGGATGTCGTTGAAGGTTTTCTGAAGGTCTTTGAAGGTTTTCTGAAGGTCTTTGAAGGTTTTCTGTAGGTCTGTGAAGGTTTTCTGAAGGTCTTTGAAGGCTTTCTGAAGGTCTGTGAAGGTTTTCTGTAGGTCTGTGAAGGTTTTCTGAAGGTCTTTGAAGGTTTTCTGAAGGTCTTTGAAGGTTTTCTGAAGGTCTGTGAAGGCGTTCCAAAGGTCTTTGAAGGCTTTCTGAAGGTCTGTGAAGGCTTTCTGAAGGTCTGTGAAGGCTTTCTGAAGGTCTTTGAAGGCTTTCTGAAGGTCTTTAAAGGTTTTCTGAAGGTCTTTGAAGGTTTTCTGAAGGTCTTTGAAGGTTTTCTGAAGGTCTTTGAAGGCTTTCTGAAGGTCTGTGAAGGTTTTCTGTAGGTCTGTGAAGGTTTTCTGAAGGTCTTTGAAGGTATTCTGTAGGTCTTTGAAGGTTTTCTGAAGGTCTGTGAAGGCGTTCCAAAGGTCTGTGAAGGCTTTCTGAAGGTCTGTGAAGGCTTTCTGAAGGTCTGTGAAGGCTTTCTGAAGGTCTTTGAAGGCTTACTGAAGGTCTTTAAAGGTTTTCTGAAGGTCTTTGAAGGTTTTCTGAAGGTCTTTGAAGGTTTTCTGAAGGTCTGTGAAGGCGTTCCAAAGGTCTGTGAAGGCTTTCTGAAGGTCTGTGAAGGCTTTCTGAAGGTCTTTGAAGGTTTTCTGAAGGTCTTTGAAGGTTTTCTGAAGGTCTGTGAAGGCTTTCTGAAGGTCTGTGAAGGCTTTCTGAAGGTCTGTGAAGGCGTTCCAAAGGTCTATGAAGGCTTTCTGAAGGTCTGTGAAGGCTTTCTGAAGGTCTGTGAAGGCGTTCCAAAGGTCTATGAAGGCTTTCTGAAGGTCTTTGAATGTTTTCTGAAGGTCTCTGAAGGTTTTCTGTTGGACGCCAGCTGCTGTTTTACTCTCTGACTTCCTTTCCTGCTGCAATAAGACAAGATTTCCTCTAACAGCTCTTTGGGATTGACCTTTTAGGAGATAAGATCCTATCTTTAGTTTGAGTTTATTCAAAGAATCAACTTTTAAAAACTGAACAAATTGTGCTTCAGAAAAAGAGCCTAAAGATCCAGCTCAGTTATGGGAGATGGCTATGGCTCATCCCTTGAGTTATGCAGCCCTTATCTGGCTGAGAGGGTCAGAGGTCAGAGGTAACGCAGTCTGGACTAGACAACTGAACCTCTTGTGGACGTGTCTCATTGTCAGAACCTTAACAATGAAGATCTTTTCTACACCTGATGATCAAAGAGAACGAAGCTCAGGTAGAAACGGGCGTTTGAGCCTCGAGCAGAAGAAGCAGGACTTCTTTCTCTGTAGCTCTGAAACTTTTTACTGCATGAATGCTCCTTTAACCCTTTTGGATCTTGTTCCGTTGATCTCATCTGGACTCTCACTAATCAGCTGTTTGTTCTCCTGATCTTCTCCTGATGCTCCTTTATCTAACACCTCCTCTCTAATCTGACTTTTCTCTGCCCTCCTTCTCCTCCTCGTCTATTTCCTGCTCCGCTGATGTCACTGGTTGCCTGGGGCTGCGATTTGCTTCTGTTCTGCCTGGCCGCTCTCTGACTGGCTGCCTCTGACGTGGGCTCGCGCTCTGATTGGTTAGGAGTATATCCGTAGACAGCTGGAGGAGGAGCAGAGGCAGCTGGAGATCCTGCAGCAGCAGCTCCTGCAGGAGCAGGCCTTACTGCTGGTAACTTGCAAACACACAAACCTGATCCTGGAAAACTTGTTTTCCTGTGGTTCCGTTGGGAAAAGCTGGTTAGTTATGTGGGGTCACCTGTCTGTGCTGAAGCTGATCCAGGTGCAGATTTGTTTTATTTAGACTGAAACACGTTTGTGTAAACAGACCAGAGTAGTAGAGACAGAAACTCTGATTTCATGTTGAGGTGAGTTGGATTAGACTCAGGAAAACCAGAGAAGGGAAATCTTTTCAGTATAAGTTAAATCTGTTACCTTGAACAGGTGAGTTTTGCAGGTAAATAGTTGATTATTTATGCTAAAACATCTGAAAGTCCACAATTGTCATGTTTCTGCACAAAACCAGGAGGGACAAAAGCAACACTCAACGATCTTTAGCAGGCTTCAGCTTCAGCTGCTGATCGGGATCGGCTACCTGACCGGGGTCTGTTTAATCCATCGACATATATATTGGACAATGGGTTTCCATAAGCTCCAATAAATAATTATTTTAGGCTAAATGGGAGGTGGCCACCACCGCCATTTTGACCGTGTCACAGGTTCCGTCAAGCCCAGACAATTCCACAAAAGGGAAGAGAGGTGGAGCTGAGGGTGGGGCTGTAAGGCTGGGATCAACTGACGACACCCGGTCAAACTGAAGCTAATGTAGCTACAAGCTAACCTGAAGCTAACCCAAAGCTTACGCGGCGGTGGGAGCTAAGCTAATGGAGGTAGCAACCTAGCTACAACCGGAGTTAACTGTGCACAACACCAGAGCTTCTGAGTCAGAGATACGCCGGGCTGACCGCTGGGTACAACCGGGTGGAACACAGAGGTCTCCGAGAGCTCCACAAGCCGGCAGCCACACAGCAGACAAGCGCCGCTGCGATCTGAGATGCGCAGAGCTGCCGCTGGGGGGAGGGGACCATACCGATAGTGGGAACCCAGCTCCACCAACATGTTATATTTCAACCCATTTTCTAAAGTGCAGCATTATGTTAAATGCACTGGGTTTTACCCTATTACATTTAAATTTCATGGTTAAACAGTACATGTTAAAATCTAAGCTCAGCTCGGCAGTGACCTAAAATACATAAATATAATTTTACTTACCGACAAAAATGAAGTGGAGACTCCTTGGACGCTCTATTAGTGCAATTAATGCCACAGCAAGTCATTTTGTCCAACAATTGCACAAAAATATCCAACAAAGAATACACAAACACAGAGACTCAAAATGCCGGAACAGTTTCCAGGCCAGACCGAGGCTCTACTGAGGCCTTTCCACGGAGCTAGCTCTGTGGTCACGTGGGTCTGATGCTCCTTAATTATACAGAATTTTAGGCTTTTAATACACTTAAACAGAAGAGTGAGAAAAAAATTCACCCCCCTCAGAGTTGTCATGAGTGTAAACTAGATCATTTAAACCAAAAACATGTTCTGGTACCAGGCTGTAAACATGTTTATTTCTGCTGTGAAATTGGTATTTTTAACATGGGAGTCAATGAGGATTTGCTCGCTTCTGACACCAGCCCCTAGTGGACGAGGGTGGAACTGCAATTTTTGTTACTTATTGTTCGGCTTCATTTCCAGACCCGAGTTATGGGGGCTTGGTTTAATCTGATGGTTGAACGTCAAAAGTCAGATTTTATTTCTGGTTCATGAATGCACCTTTGCTAAGAGCAAATTCACACCAGATCAACCTGACTGAGCAGAAATCGGTATCGGCCCACAGACACAGAATCAGTGCGTTTTTCATCCAGACGTGCTGAGTCAGATGTCTGAGTAACTGAAACAGCCTAGGGGGCGCCACTGAGCCCTTCCCCAACATTTACAGTTAGAACTATTAACTTTGTAAATTCCTGATTAACTTTGTGGTCTTTAGAGGCGTTCGTGTCCCTGACACACAAACCGTTTACGGACCGAGTTAAAGGATAAACGTGCTTGAGGCCGGCGGCGCTCCGGTCCGGTTCAGATGGGATGAAATCAGCACCAACGTGAAATTCAAACATTTGGTTGTTCAGATTCAGGAAAATTCAGACATGAATTCCAGAATTCTCTTCTGCAGAAAAACAGCATTTTTAAATGTAATAATAACATTTCTGTCAGTGAGAATAAGTATTTTTATAAATGGTCCTGCTTGATGAGGACCAGACGGATGCTGCTGAGCAGGTCAGCTACAGCTGGATTGACCTTCTGACCTCTGGTCACGTTTAAAAGCAGCAGGGCCTGAAGCTCCTCCTCCTCCTCCTGCAGGAATACAAGAGGAAGCAGATCGAGGAGCAGCGGCAGGCGGAGCGTCTGCAGAGGCAGCTGCAGCAGGAGCGTGCGTACCTGGTGTCGCTGCAGCAGCAGCAGCAGGAGGCGCCGCGGCCGGTGCCGCCGCAGGACAAGAAGCAGCTGTACCACTACAAGGACCAGGCGCCGAGCAGCAACGACAAGCCCACCTGGGCTAAAGAGGTACATGCGGGCTCCGCGACCCCGATCGGGTCGCCTCAGGGTTAAGGAGGGGGCAGGTCATGATCACCAGGTTGTCCCTAACCCTGTAAACATGAAAAACACGCAGTTTCAGGTCATTTCATAGTTCAGGAGTTTAAAATACAATAATAAAATTATCACAAAGACAAAAATTACAGAGAGAGCACCAGCTGATCATCTTTTTACTGTTTTTACTTAAAACATCTTTGAAGCTTTTCACCTTATTATAGTTTTCTTTCTACATTCAGTCACAACTAAACGTTATTCTACTCAAACGGATGAAGTCGACCTGCGTTTGGATGGATCTGAACGTCCTCCTGCAGGAGTTGAATGTTTATTCGTTCTAAACCCAGAAAGGATTGTTCCTTTCCAGAAGAATGACGGAGAAATAACCCGCCTTTGTTTCCGTTTCACAGGAGTCGCCACCGAGCAGCAGAGCTCCAGCTGCAGCATAAAGTCGTCCATAGTTACACTTTAGTTCCTGCTGAGCATCTTCTTCCTGGTCATTTAGGAGTGAAACTCTGATGGCTTTTACTTCCTGTTGCAGGACTCAGGTTTTATTTGTGTTTTAATTCACCGTCTTGTCATTTATTTGTTTGTTTATTTGTTTGTTTGTTTGTTTGTTTATTAAGAAAGGAAGGGAAACGGTGGAAACCAGATTTGAAACCCTGGAAGCTGATGGCCATTTTGACGGTTTATTTTTCATTCTTAGAAAAAAAAATCCTTTTTCTTTGCATTTTTATTCATTTGGAACAAAAAGAGTAAATAATAATAATAATTTATTTATTTTGTTATTTTCACGTTTTTATTTAATTCCATTCCACCCCTCAGCGTTCCGTGTTTCCAGCGCCGTCTCGGACCTGCAGACCGACTCCGAGTCAATGTTCAGCTTTGACCTCTAGTTGTTTTGTTTTTGTTTACTTGTTTTTTGTAAACAACCTGTCCTCCAGGTGATGCGTCGCGCTCAGAGTAACTCGCCCCGCATCCCCACTAAGAAGTACCACTCCTTCATGGAGACGCGGGACGTGAACCTGGACCAGCTCCTTCTGCTCCCCGGATACAAACCGCCCCGCCCCCCCTCCTACCCCGCCCACGACAGTCCCAACAGGGACAACCTCCACGTTCCCCAAATCCGCATCACCTGCATCCCAGAACCCAGCTGCTCGGAGCCGGTGATGAGGAGGCAGAGTCCAGGCAGCAGCCCCGACAGAGGGGTCGACTCCAGGGGTCGGAGTTCAGCCCGCCGGGTCAGTCGGAAACCAGCCGGACCCTTTCTCTCACCTTACCTGTCCTGTTAACACCTTTGTTTCTCTAACCAGGTGAACTTATCTTTTACCTGAAGCTCAGAAAACCTTCTAACCAAACTTCTGATCCCATCACCTTAAGCCAGCTTCTGTAGAAGTTACAAACAAGTCCCACCTCACCTGTTGTAGGTAACAGCCTCAGCGTGGAGAAACAGAGATGAGTTCTGAGCGAGCCTCATCTCAGACCTCAGACATTCATTACTCTTCATATAAATCCTGTTCTGTAAACTCCATTCCATCAACAACAGCTTTGAGTTTGGAGGTTCTGTCTCCAACGCGTGAGATGTTACCTGTTCCTAACTCTGAACCACCACCGTGAGAAACCAGACTCACAACCCCAACAAGCAGGAATTCAGCTGGCATCATTAGAAACTAAAGAAAGTAGATAAAATCTGATGATATGATCATTTAAGCTCTGATAATAATCTAAATCTTTGTGGATTAAGGAGGATGAATGGTGTTCATCCACTGATTCTTTCTTCTTCACAGCTTTTAGTCGTCTTTCTGCTGTTTCAGTGAAACTTTGGGGGTTAAATCTGCTTTTTATGTCTTATTTCTAACAGCTACTAACTTCCTCCTTTCACCGTCTCTTCCTGCAAGTCCAGGTTTTTCTTTCACTTTTATTGTTTCTGAAAAATGTTTAGTTTCACATGAAGATCATCCTGAAGGTTCCACTGCAGGTCTGCCCTCTGGTGGCCTCTTGTGGACATGCAGGACAGATGTGTGTCCCTGCCTGTCCACTCTGACCTCAGCCGTTGTGTCATCAACTCATGTTTTAAATCATTTCTAAAACTAAATGAAATTTTTTTATATTCAAATGTTACTAAATAAACTAGCAAAAGTCCTAAATTAAAGTGAAGATTCCCAAAAGAACAAAGCTAAGTCCTCTTTAGGGGGCGGGTGTCCCAGGAGGACAGGGTAGTCTATGGGAAGTCTGGATGACCTTTGACCCCACAGCCGCTGCAGGCCCAGTGACGGTGCTGTGATGTTTGTCAGGTGGAGGAACAGTTTCAGGTGAACAGACAGACTTCTCCTGCGTTACAGCATAAAGTCTCCAACCGGATCTCCGACCCATCTCTGCCGCCCCGATCCGAGTCCTTCAGCAGCGGAGGAATCCAGCAGGCCCGGACTCCGCCCATGCACCGCTCTGTGGAGCCTCAGGTCAGAGCCCTACGCCTCTGTGTGTGCGTGTGTGTGCGTGCGTGTGTGTGTGTGTGTGCATGTGTGTGTGCGTGTGCATGTGTGTGTGCATGTGTGTATGTGTGTGTGCGTGCGTGTGCATATGTGTATGTGTGTGTGTGCGTGCGTGTGTGTGTGTGTGTGCATGTGTGTGTGCGTGTGTGTGTGTGTGTGTGTCACCTGTTAGCTGTCCCTTAACACCTCCTACCACCTACGTCTCAAATGTATCACAGGAAGTGAACACGTTTCCTTCAGAATAAAACGTTGGATGGACAAGTTTCCTGCTTATCTTGTATAGCAAGCTGTTACATCATATATCAAGTCCTAGTCCTAATTAGGCTTGGATTAAATTAAACCAGCATAATAATAATTTAGGGGTTGATCTGAGAGATGTAACGCTCCAGATCAGAAGGGGAAAGTGGGATAATAATGTTGTTGTGTCGTCAGCTGTTACAAACACCGGTCTGAACACACCTGAGACTTTTCTAATCTCCTTCCTCACCTTCATCACTGCTTCCTGATCACCTGCAAATCAAATCCTGATCCTGCTCTTCCTCCTCCACCTGGCTTGTTTCCTGCCTGTGTGTGTGTGTGTGTGTGTGTGTGTGTGTGTGTGTGTGTGTGTGTGTGTGTGTGTGTGTGTGTGTGTGTGTGTGTGTGTGTGTGTGTGTGTGTGTGTGTGTGTGTGTGTGTGTTCAGATGGCCCACCTGGTACAGGTGAAGAGTCACGGTCTGTCAGGCTCCCAGTCCCTGTACGACCCCCACGGGGTGTCCTCCACCTCGGCGTCGCCCTCCCCATCCCGGCCTCCCATGCCTCGGCAGAACTCCGACCCCACCTCCGACACCCCTCCTCCCCCATCCCTGTCCCGCCTGGCACCCCCCCTCGACAAACTCGACCGCAGCTCGTGGCTGCGGCAGGATGACGACATGCCGCCAAAGGTTTCTGCATGCATGCATGTGTGTGTGTGTGTGTTTGTGTGTGTGTGTGTGTGTGTGTGTGTGTGTGTGTGTGTGTGTGTGTGTGTGTGTGTGCTTTTTCCTTATTTCTGACTTTGATGTGATGGTTTTACTGGAGTCGTCATGTTTTCCTCGCTGGTTTCTCTCCAGCACGGTTGTGTGTGTGTGTGTGTGTGTGTGTGTGCGTGCGTGCGTGCGTGCGTGTGCGTGCGTGCGTGCGTGCGTGCGTGCGTGTGTGTGTGTGTGTGTGTATGTGTGTGTGTGTGTGTGTCTGAACAGCTGAGAGTGGTTCTGAATAGAGATGCACTGATTCTGGTTTCCAGGACCGATAACGATGATGTCTAACTCTGCAGCTCAGACCTGCTGAGTCAGATTTTTGGCTGATTCTTGTTGATCCAGAAGAAGCAGAATCAGAACCCGGCCCACTTGTCGGGTTGCAGAGGGGTTTTTATGCATCTCTGTTCTTTGAGGGCATTTTAGTACGGGAGCGTGAGTCTTTGACTCTCCTGTTGGTGCTTCCAGGTTCCTCAGAGGACCACCTCCATCTCTCCTGCTTTGGTCAGGAAGAACTCACCAGGAAACGGTCCTGGACTTGGCCCTCGGGCCGGAGCTCACCTCATCCGGGCCAGGTGGGTTTCTGTGGAACACATGACTCCATCCAGCCTCAAGACCAGAAACATAACCAGATTTAAGCAGTTAGCTTTTCTCAACGAGACACTGTGTTTGTGTTGCCATAGCAACCCCGACCTGAGGAGGACTGATATCTCCATGGATACTCCTCTCAAGAGGACAAGCAGTGGCAGCTCATCCAGCTCCAGCACCCCCAGTTCCCAGGGAGGCTCCAACGAGAGAGGTAAACACCTTCAGTTATTCCTTCTCCCAGTTCCCCCCCAATTATCCAGAGATGTGGAAGTAACAGGTTCCAGGAGGAGGTCTCAGACCTCCTTCTCCCTAGAGACTCTCTCCAACTCCTCCTAAGGTGTTCCCAGACCAGAGAGGATTTGTAATGCCTCCAGAGGGTCCTGGCTCTGCTCTGGGAAGTACCCAGGAAACCTCTGGAACCTGATGCTTCTTGGGCACTTCCCATTGGGAGGAGACCAGAGACCCTCCGTTAGGAGACAACAAGACCGTCTCAGCTCCTCCTTCAACTCGACGTTCCCTCTTTCTCCGTGTTTTCAGGTAATTCTGCTCCTAAAACCGAGAGCTCAACGCTTTCCTCCCACGACACCAAAGATGACAGCAGGGAGCTGACGCGACCCAGCAGGCCTGCAGTGAGTCCACACACACACACACACACACACACACACACACACACACACACACACACACACACACACACTGCTCTGTCATTGAACTCATCACGTTGATGTTCCTGTCTCTCCTCCATCCTCCATCCTTCTTCCCATCGTCTCTCAGAATTATAAGAAAGCTTTAGATGAGGTCAGTGACCTTTAACCTCCTTTTGCCTCACCTCGTCCCTCTCTTTGTCCCTCTGGTCTTCACATCTCTGGCTGTTCCTGCTGAGGCATGAATAGCTGCACAAACCCATATCCCTAGAGAGTTTTTGACACATCAAATCTAAATTTCTCTTCATGTTTAAATAAAAGTTCTTTTATTGTGAAAGGGTTTTCCATGATTCATGTAAACGAGCACGTCTGATCTGGATCCATCAGACTCATTAAAGGTTTTTCTTTCATGTCTTGTTTCTGGTGAGGTAGCGCTTCTTTTTTTATCAAACAGGAAGTTCATCAGTGATCATTTATCTGGACTTCCTGTCTTGTCCTTCAAATAAAAACTTCCCGACTTTTCTCACCTCTGCACTCATGTTTCATTTCCACGGTCACACTTTGTTTTTTTTTCTGCTTCCACTTTACCATTCCTCTCTTTCTCATCAGGAGGAGTTGGTAAGATTACGCCCCCCCCCCCCCCCCCCCCCCCCAACCTGGTCACTGTCCCGCCCACTTCCTGTCACTCAGATGTGAAACGTTCCTGCTGTGATTTTAGTTTGTGGAAATCTAGATGGTTGCTTCTGTTTTGATGCTGTGATGCGTCGGTGCGGCGGCCATATTGTTGCAGGATGATCGTTCAGAAACCGCAGAGTCAGGTATCAGATTATAATCTGAATAATTAACTCCCTCTGAGGAGTAAAACGTTCACTTCCTGCCGAGTTTGTTGGACTTTCTCCTTGTTTTGATCCCACCTGCGGCCGACGCATCACACGAGTCCGTTTCATTCACTTCTGTTTATTTTTGGCTGCTGACCTTTGACCTTAACGCTGGGGCATGGCTGTAGCCTGTTGTTTCTCCTCTCGCTCGCTGCCCTCCTCGTGTAATCCTGATAAATCTGAGCTTTACTAACAACCTGCATGAGTTTCTCTGTTTGTCGTGTGTGAAAGCACAGCTGAGTTCCTTTGGCAGCGCGTCAGAGACGCTCCGGCCCCGGACAGATGTTTTTATTTAAATAAAGTGTTTGAGTGGATAGAAACAGCAGTTTTAGGTTTTTATTTGGTGGTTGGAACAGAAATCGTTCTGGTTTATTTAATCTTTCGCTGGGAGGAAACCAACAGGTGGTTTATTTTATTTGGAGCATTTTTCCCGTTTTCCCGTCTCCGTCCCTGACCGAGTTCTGGTGACCCGGACCGGAGAGGCTGGGTGTGTAACCGCTGGGTTCTCCTCCTGCAGGACCTGACGGCTCTGGCTAAAGAGCTGAGAGAGCTGCGACAAGGAGAGGAGACCAGCCGCCCCCCCGTCAAAGTCACCGACTACTCTTCATCCAGCGAGGAGTCCCACAGCAGCGAGGATGAGGAGGGAGAGGGCGGGGCTAACGATGGGACGGTGGCCGTCAGCGACATACCCAGAATCATGTTGGTTCTCTTAACTTTTATCTTTTGTTATTTTACTTCCTCGTTTAGAGAAAAGGACGTTTATTTTGTCTTCAGGCCTCCGGCAAGTCAGAGCAGCAACGAGTCCTTCAGCGTGATGGGCGGCCACAACGACTCCCACGGGGACTCGTATGGAGACAACTCCCAGGACAGCACCCTCATGATGCGGGAGGTGAGACACTGCGTGACCTCTGACCTTTGGGGTCGAGGGGTGTAAAGGTGTGGTTCTGTGAGCAGCGGGAACATTTGGGAAGGTCGGACTGGTTTAAATTCACTTTTATGTTTGACAGAACAAAATAATCACTACAACATCAATAATAATAATTATAACAATAATTATTATTATTATTATCGTTAACTGATCACAACATCAGTAGCCATAACTGTGGGTGAACATATCAGGGATTAATGTTTAGTTTTCCTGTCTGAGTGTTTTGATGCTTAACTAGAAACTCATAAATGTGATTAAATTATGAGTTTATTTATTTAAAATATTTATGTTATTGGCAGAAATGTGTTTATTTAAACATTTCTGCTAAATCTGACTTTGTGATTCTTATATTTCAGTGTTAAACACACACACACACACACACACACACCTCGCTGGGTTCACCTGACCTGTCAATCACAGCGTCACTGCACCGTTGCCCCGCCCACACTTCCTCTCTCCTTTCAGAGGCGTAAGGGACGAAGGCGGAGCTCTGCTGCCAGCAACAGTTTTCTTGGCAGCGCTAATCTCCCAGATTTGGTACAGCAAAGCCCGTCCCCTCTGGTCTCCCCCGGCGACACCTGTGGGGCCCAAGTAGGTGGTGCAGAAACCTTCGTCCCCACCTGGTCCTGACAGCCTGCCCCTGCACCCCCACCCCACCCCTGACACCTCCCCCGATCCGCCTTTCTTTATAAGGGTAGGAGACTACCTGCAGCCCCCTGACGGTAACCTCCACCTAAAGAACTTAAGTTGGTGCCGTTGAGCTTCTGTTTCTAAATAAAATGAGATCAGTTTCTAAGTTAAGTAAAAGTTTAGTGCCTTTAAAATCCAGATTATTTACGGTTTATCCTCCTCGCAGAGGAAATCCAACATTTCTGGGGTGTGAAAGGTTTTCGAGAACGACCCAGGTCCTTCAGGGACACCGTCCTACAGCTCCTACGCTCCAACACACCTGATTAGAATCAGTGTCTGATGATCGGGCTTCTTGGGGAGCCTGTGAATCAGGTGTGCTGGAGCAGGAAAACCACTAAAACACGCAGAATAGTGAAGAACCAGGACTGGTCTCTACTGGTCTGAGCTGGCTCAGTCTGACCCAAACCACCAGTCCTGGTGCTCAGGTGTCATCCAGACGCTTAGATGTTTTAAACGATTCTGCTCAGCAGCGATTGGTTCTTCAGCTTCAGCAGAACGTTCACCTTCAGCGGTAGGTTCTCTGATGTCACCTGGTGTTTTTAGCAGCGACTGGCCGCTGAATGAGGTTGTTCTTTAATGCTGCACCGTCAGATGTTTGTCTGTGTCGCTCTGACGTTGTTATGATGAAGCTCTGGGGGAGCGCTGCCCTCTGGGCTCTTCTGTAAAACCTCCTCTGGCTCCTGCAGACCCACTCAGAAAGGACAGACGGCTCTATGACGTCGACGTCTACGTTCTTTATTATCCCCTTCTGGATCAGCTGCATCCAGACCAGTCTCTGGGTTTCATACGAGTTAGACGTCATCGCCAGGGCGACTGGATGTCTGCCCATATTTGGTCTTTTCTGATAAAATATTAAACTAACTTTAAACTGCTTATGCTGACCAACAAATATAATCTATATTTATTATGACACTGAAGCAACACAACTGAACTGAAATGCATTAAAATACATCATAAAATAAATGTTTAAAATGACCAGAACATGAAACGCCGTGACCATGTGACATCATCCTCCTGAGACTTTTAATTATTGCATTTTTCTCATAATTATTTGTGACATATAGGTAAAATTAAAAATATATATTTTAATTTATTTTTATATTTATGCCATTGTAAAATTAACTTTGTTGAATTTAAATCAAATAAATGCTTTGAATGAAAAACGCTAATCAGGGGTGCCCAGTCCTGGTCCAGGAGGGCCGGTACCCAGCATGTTTTAGTTTTAACTCTGCTTCAAAACACCTGGTTTCAGTCAGCAGGTGATTAACAGGCTTCTGCAGAGCCTGATGAGCTGCTGCGCAGGTGTGCTGGAGCAGAGAAACCACTAAAACCTGCTGGATACCGGCCCTTCAGGACCAGGATTGGGCACTCCCTATGGTTAAAGACCAGACGTTGTTGTTTTCTCCCAGATGACTGCCCCTGCTGGTGATGGCTAGTATTGCAGTTGGGAGTCATTTCTATTGGCTTTGCAGATCTGAGGAAACATCTAGCTTTATTTTTATTTAGTTTACTGAGTTACTTCCTAGTTTTGGCTACAAGGTGTGGGCACATTTAAAATGTGTTTATCAGCATGTTTACAATGAAACCGCTCGAGTCCAAATGTCCAGTTTTAACTGCATGTTTTCTGAATATGATTTTTATTTATGCGTTTGAAAATGGCGCCTAGCACCTTTCCTTTCCCGCCCTGTCCTGAGTTATCCTGCCTATTGTCAGCTTTAGGGTTCCCTCACGCCAAACGTCTGTTTTCTGACTATCCTCCACCCTGATTCTCAGGTAAATCACACAGGTAGCTAAGAAACATTGATAAACATCAATTTATCTTATTAGAACACAAAACAAGTCCAGATAGCTTCAAAGATGAAATCCTAGGTTTTCCGTATTTTGACGCCTGTTCCATCCCTGACTGTTAGTCGTTTTCTTTGCCCGGCAGTTCGGGATGGGAGGCAGCGGCGGCTCTAAAGCCTCCTTCACACCGTTCGTGGATCCGAGGGTCTACGGGACCTCGCCGACTGATGACGATGATAAGACCTCTGCTGCAGGTACCTCCTGCCTGAGTCCAGACCTCCTCACAGCTCAGAAGGGGTGAAACCCCTCCAGGTTTGGGTTCAGGATCCCATCACAGCATCTTTCTGGTTGGTTTGTTGCAGCTTTGTTTGCTGATGAGCTGCTGAAACAGGAGCAGGAGCAGGCCAGACTCAACGAGGCCAGAAAGATCTCTGTGGTCAACGTCAACCCGACCAACATCAGGCCGCACAGCGACACGCCCGAGATCCGCAAATACAAGAAACGCTTCAACTCTGAGATCCTGTGTGCCGCTCTGTGGGGTGAGACGACAGCCTGGCCGTAAACAAACGTTTGTGTGGCTCCAGGAAACCAGACCTTTGTGCCTTTTAGGAGTCAACCTGCTGGTGGGGACGGAGAACGGCCTGATGCTGCTGGACCGGAGCGGACAAGGAAAAGTCTACAACCTGATCAACCGGAGACGCTTCCAGCAGATGGATGTCCTGGAGGGACTCAACGTCCTGGTCACCATCTCAGGTCAGACGACCGTCTGAGGTTTATGCCTTCATTACTTCTTCAGTAAAAATGTAAAAATAAACATCATGGTGATAAAAACAGAACAAGGGTCTAGAAAATGTTGGAGCATAACCAGAGACCCATCAATGGCTAAAGAACATGATAACTGCGACTGTTGTAATATATATGAGCGTTTTTACGGTGAATGTGCTGGTGGAAATAGCTCTGATGTAATCGAAGGTGCCTGACTTGGTGTTTTTAGGCAGAAGCTTATATTTGTGGATGCTGTGGCTTTTTTCCATCCAGGGAAGAAGAACAAGCTGCGTGTTTACTACCTGTCCTGGCTGAGGAACAGAATATTACACAACGACCCAGAAGTGGAGAAGAAACAGGGCTGGATCACAGTGGGAGACCTGGAAGGCTGCGTTCACTACAAAGTCGGTGCGTTGTCATCACATCCACCTGTCCTCTCGCGATGAATCGTTTGTGCTGAGATCAGAAAAGCAGCGACTTGTTCTCCTGCTCTCCTTCACTTCATGGCTTCACTGTTTTTTACAGTGAAATATGAGAGGATTAAGTTCCTGGTGATCGCTCTGAAGAACTCAGTGGAAATCTACGCCTGGGCACCAAAACCTTACCACAAGTTTATGGCCTTTAAGGTGACGAGGACACGCCCACTCACCTGCACGGTGCCTTTAAGGCCTCAGACAAATAAATACTGCCGAATATGTTTAAGATGTTCATGTCTGAACGTGCAGCGGCGGTTCAAAATCTGTCAAATAAAGTTTTGTTTTCATTTGAAAAATTTTTCCGACATGTTCACACGAATGAGACTTAAACATATATGGACCTCGGCTTTACAGCTTCCTCTTCTCTGCTCTTTAGTCTTTTACAGATCTGCAGCATCGCCCCCTGCTGGTCGACTTGACGGTGGAGGAAGGTCAGAGGTTAAAGGTCATCTACGGCTCCAGCGTTGGTTTCCATGTCGTTGATGTGGACTCTGGAAACACGTATGACATCTACATCCCCTCACATGTAAGAGTGTGTATGTTATTCTTGTACAACTGCATTGTGGGGACCTTGCTCTTCTACCTTCGTTTTGAGGCCCTGTCCCAGGAAGCAGTCAATAATACCAACATTTGTTGGTTACATTAGAGCGTTTTAAAAGGGTAATATCTTCAATGAAAACAGCTTAATTTATTCTGAAACTAGATTTCGTATTTCAGTCAAACGCTGAATGTTTAAATGGACACGAATAAGCGGAGCTGGAAGGTAAAACACGTCTGTGATTAAACGCAGCAGGTGAGCCTGTGTCCTCCTCTGACCCTGGGTTAGTCACAGTCAGAGATGGATGGGGGAAGGAGACGGTTACCGTAGCAACCAGCTCTGGTTGCTTTTGGCCGTCATGAATCACACTGCTCATGTCTGTTTTCATGGCGACCACGTTGCTGAAGAGGGATAGGGTTTTCTATTGCAGGAGGTTTTTAACGCTCGCGCAGGGTCTGAACCGGGTGCTGTGAAGGGGTTTCATCCACTACCCCTCCCTCTGACATCATCCCCTCTCATCTCATGTCCCCCCACAGATCCAGGGTCAGGTGACCCCACACGCCATCGTGGTTCTGCCCAAGACGGACGGCATGGAGATGCTGCTGTGCTACGAGGATGAGGGCGTCTACGTCAACACCTATGGACGCATCACCAAAGACGTGGTGCTGCAGTGGGGCGAGATGCCCACCTCCGTCGGTACGTCAGTCATTCAGTCCGCCCCTTGACCTCTGACATCACACTGTTCCTAACACCTTTTCCTGGATGTAGCTTTCGTTACCGGCTTGTATCCAGCCTTCTCTAAAGAAGAGTTTGTGTTGACAGGATGACATGACAGCGACTGCTGAATCCTCTACAGTTTGCTTATCAGGCTTGGAGGGGTGGGGGTGGGGGGTGGGGGTGGGGGGGGGTGGTGGAGGATGCAACAGTCAGTCTGTTGGAAATGCTTTTTCATCATCTGGACCTAGCAGGAACTCATGCTCGACTCCTCTTTGTGGACTTTTCGTCCGCTTTCAATACAATCCAGCCTCATGTTTTGGTTAATAGGCTAGAGGAACAGTTTCACCTGCTTGGGTGGATACTAGATTTTGTGAGCAACAGAACACAGAAGGTCAGAGTGAATAGTACCCTGTCGGATAAGAGAACTGTGTCTACCGGATCTCCCCAGGGCTGTGTTTTGTCCCCCTTGCTGTATATTTTATACACTAACATGTGCCAAAGCAAAGACGAGAGAAGGACAATTATTAAACATGCTGATGATTCTGTAGTGGTACGTCTCCTGAGAGAAGGGGAACACAGCCATGGACCTGTTCTTGATGATTTTATCTCTTGGTGTGATGAATCACATCTACAACTTAATGTAATTAAAACAAAAGATATGATCATTGATTTTAGAAGGAAGCCTCAACAACAGCGTGATCTTTCCATAATCAAAGGTCAAACTATTGAGCGGGTGACATCATATAAATATCTGGGGACAATTATTGATAGGGAGCTGAATTTTGAGGAAAACTGTGATGCTGGGTGAGAAAGGCCAGCAGCGTCTGTACTGCCTCAGAAAACTGGCCTCGTTGCATGTGGACAGGACTATAATGTCCATGTTTTATTCTTTTATTGAAAGTGTTTTATCTTTTCCTTAGCCTCATGGTTTGGCCAGGCAAATGTTAAACAAAAGGAAACGCTGAACAGGATAGTAAAGTGGTCGGGTCGTCTGCTCGGAGAACCAGGGAAAGGTGTGGCACAGCTGTACAGCGGACAGGTAGCGAGGATTGCCAAAGCTGTTGTTAGGGACATGCCCCCCCCCCCCCCCCCACTGCATGCCCAGTTTGCTCTCCTGCCATCAGAATGGAGACTTATTGTGCCAAGGTGCAGGACCAAGAGGTATGAAAGGAGCTTTATTCCTGAGGCGGTAACGTTACTCAATAAGAACAGAGTCTGGCGTGGCTATTTTATTTTTATTCATGGATTGTTTTATATTTATATATATATGTATATGTATATGTACATATATATATATATATATATATATATATATATATATATATATATATATATATATATATATATATATATATATATATATATATATATATATATGATGTGTGTGTTTTGTGACTGTACCCTGGGCGCTAATTCTCGTGTCACATGGCAAATCAAATTTACCTGCGGGTGTTAATAAAGTGACCTTGACCCTGACCTTGACCTTGACATGCAGCAGAAAACGTCTGCTGATGAGACCGTTTTAAACACTCGTAGATTCATACGTAACACACCTTTTCACTCAAACCGCTCCTCTGATCGTGTCTTCAGCCATCCTCGCAGGCGTCCTTTTCCATGTACCTGCTGTAGAAAACGTGAGAGGGCCTCCTCCCAGGAAAATCCAGTTTTCCAGGCTTCCTTAAACCTCCTCCTGCTCTCAGCAGCTGACCCTTCTCCTGTCAGATCAGCTTCAACCAAGAAGTTTTTCATAATGAAGCAGAAACCTTCGCTTGCACATTCTTAAAGTCTGGAGTCTGACGACACCCAGAGAGCGTGAACATCTGTGAAGGTGTCAGAACCTGCAGCGGGTGTCTCCTGGGTGGGACGGGTTTGGGTCTGCTGAGGCTTCTCCTGAATGTCGGTGTGTTTTTGTTCAGCCTACATCCACTCCAACCAGATCATGGGCTGGGGGGAGAAGGCCATCGAGATCCGCTCCGTGGAGACGGGACACCTCGATGGAGTCTTCATGCACAAGCGAGCTCAGCGGCTGAAGTTCCTGACGGAGAGGAACGACAAGGTGAGTCTGGGGCTTGTTGTGTCTGACTCGGCTCCCAGAATAATAAAAACTGGGGAGTGAGCCAGAGAAAATCTCTACGTCCTCTCTGCTGACACAGACCTGACTGTCTCTGCCGTGTGTCCCCTGCAGGTTTTCTTTGCCTCGGTCCGCTCTGGAGGCAGCAGTCAGGTCTTCTTCATGACCCTCAACAGAAGCTCCATGATGAACTGGTAACCTGACACCTCCTTCGACCTGCGACCCTCCTCTTCGTCTTCACCCTCGGCCTCTGACAGGAGGGAGGGACGACCGGAGGACAATCTTTGTGTGTGTTTATGTTTGTGTGTACTTGTGGATGACTACAACAAGCTGCTGACTGGACTGAGCACCTGGGGGAGGAGTTGGACCCTGCAGGGGATGCTGCCGGTCCTGTGGTCGCTCTCCCCACCTGCGGAGCGCCTGACCGCGCCTGGAGGACTGCTGGACTCGACCCGGAGCCTTTGAGGAGCTGCCGAGAAGCCTTTCAGCTCCCTGTGGGACGCGGTGGGGACGGTCTTTGTGTAGCACATGAGTGACGTTCGCGCGGGGTGTTCACACTGCGAGTCTGTAGGTGTTTGGTGTGGGTGCAGATGTTCCAGCTGCAGCCAGTCCCCCACTGTTGTAGTGAGTAAGAAACGTAGCATTAGACAGAAAACACACTCCAGGTTGAGTCTCACTATAGGTGCACAAGTTTTTACGTTTACAATCATCTCACAGAATCGAGGTTTTATGGTTCTGGTTTCATTAGGATGCGTCTGAACGCTCGAGAGAACAAACCCTGCTGAACGCCAAATCCCTCTTTTAGTTTCAGTTTGAGTCACATCAGCTGGAGGTTGGTCGGGTTTGAGCTGCTCCTGATGAAAAGTGACAATCCAGAGGGAAACCTTCCGTCCAGAACCGGGTTCTGGTGTCCGAGCCGCTCCAGGTCATGAGGACCGACAGCACGATGTTCACGTTTGAATCAAAACTACTGAAGAAATAAATGTGAAACTCTAAAATGACTCCATCAAGCTGCTGCTGAGAGCTGGCTGTGGCTCCTCGAGTCGCTCCTGCTGCACATTCACCCGCTCTTCTCTAAAAGCACCAAAACCACAACCTAGTCCCGTTTCAGGAGATGAAAGGGATGCGTCTGGTTGAAGCAAAGCCGAGTCAGATCACCATCAACACAAGGAAAATATTTAGATATTCTTACTTCTATCGGATATTAAAGCTGAAATAAAATGTTTTACGAGTCCGAATGATTCAAACTGCTCTAGTTTATAGTTTTATGTTTAAAAGCCACTGGAGAAAGATCTGGTGGCGGACGAGAGCTTCCCACGGGACCGGTTATTAGTTTTACTTTATTGGTAAATCTCCTGCTGCAGCAGCCAAAACCAAAAGGTCAGTTTTTGACCTTCCAGAACCAAGTCACCATTCTGCGAGTCTCGAGTCTGTCACTTTGAGTCCTGAACCAATTCTGAGACCAAATTTATGATTTCAGTCCAGAAAAGCTGATTTATTTCCACTAAATAAAGAAAAAATGAATGTTGATGCTGCAAGTCAACAAGTCCAAGTCTCTTCTGGTGTCTCCTAATCGAATCTAAGACACTAAAATGAGTGTCATGTGACTCAAGTCCGCCCCTCCACAAGGCATTATGGGTCATTTGTGGTTTTTACAAACTTTATTCTTTTTCTGATTCAATCTTCAAACTATTTTAACTTTAGTCCTGAAATAGAATTTCCATTTTTCCTCAGAATTTATAAATGTATTCTAAAACATAAAAACCAAAAAGGAAAAACAATTTTTCCCCTAGTGGCCCGACCGCTCGGCTGCAGACGGAGCGGTAACAGCAGAGGCGGGCTGGTTAAGACGGTATTATTTAGTTTATATATAGTTTGTGATCAACGGCAAGTCAAGTGGTCCAAAAACATTCCGAGCGTAAACATCTGCACGACTGCTGCAAATTTCTGATTCAGCATTAAAACATCTAAGTGTGAATGTGATGCTAAGGGTTCAGATCAGCCAGTATCTTACCTGCAGCA